GACTGAAGCTGAGACTGGATGAGTGAAGAAATGAGGTCTTTGAGGGGGGTACTGGTGGAGAGATTGCGCTAGGGTGAGAGACAGCTCTTATTATAACCAGAAGGAAGGAAAGAAGGGAAGATGGAGATACAAGGAGGCCTTGAGGAACTGGTGCCTGAAAGTTGAGAGCACTATATATATGATAGTTTTTATTTGCTTTGTGAAATATGAATTTAGCTCAGCTTAGTGACTGAAAGGATGTTGAAGAATTTGTTGGTGGACCATGTGACAATGTAATGATTTGTCAGCTTTCCCTTAATGGGGAAAAAGATCCCTGGTCTAGGTATGACTTTGCTGTCATTAAATTAATCTCTAGAAGCTTTCAAACGACCCAGATTTTGTTACCTTTAGGAATGTGAAATAGACAATATGCCTAGTACAAAAATTGGCACTCGAGACACTGCAGAAAGGGCTGAGTGGATAAGCCCATGTTCTTGGGACACTTCCTGTACATATGGGGTGTCTTCTAAACCTGTTTTTCAGTTTACACAGATCATTTTTTCCAGCAAGCATGCTTTTGTTGAAAAAAACAAACTTTCACCTTGCAATAATCACACCCTTGTGAATCGTAACAGGGCAGGTACTGTTAGCTTGTTTGGGCTGTTTGGCGTCGTCTCCAGGAATAGCACAAAAATGCTACCAAGAACTGGGTTATACTCTTGCCAATAGGAACAGAGTGTCCATGACTGTGTGATGGATTCAGCTTTTCTTCTCACTGGAAACTGAGTTGTGAACAGACTTGGCAAGAAACAGATCATGGCAGACAGTTTTTTAAAAGATCTTTTAAAAAATCAGCTTCTGCAGAAAAACTTGATGGACAGCCTAGAGGGCAGAATAGTGTTTAAATCTTGCTCTTAAATAGATTGCCAACTACTTACTGTTGTTCATTCCCTTGAGGACGTTGTGTATTTGACCAGTTCTTTTATCCCAGGGAGAGGAGAACAGGACTGGCCTAGTCTTGCACGTTTTGCAGGGAGCCTCACGGGGTCTCCCCTCCTCACCCATAAAAGTGCCCTCCTGTGTGTTTGGTTGGGCTACAACTCTTTGAACACCGAATTCTACTCATGGCTGGAAGAAAGAGAAACGGTGATTAGGATTGAAAGCACAAAGATCAAACTACTAATTGACTAACAGATTTAGAGTAGCATTGAGCACATATCAGGCTGTGCATGGTACTCCCTGTTGTCTCCAAATACCGTCAATCTTTGCCTGAATAGATGTCTTTGTGCATTCTCCTGAGAGAGCTGAGAAGGGGAAAAGTGAAGAGCAGTTAAAAAAAATGTCTGTTACTAGGTGTGTCCAGTGCTGTTGCCAAGTAACTTTCTGACACAGATACCTGTGGCTTATGGAACTAAACTGAGGTCTGAGGGATTGCTCTGTGAGGTTCCTGGTGAGGGTGTGGACTGCATGACCAACAAAAAGAACTTCTGTTGGCATATAGGGTGATTTATGTGATGGAAAGTTGTGTTTAACCACTAAATTTAACACATAATAAACTTTAGACAAAGTGTCCTGGCCTGCTGTAACCAAGCTATTGGTGTCTTTCTTTGTGCGTGCGTGCGTGCGTGCATGCATGCGTGTGTATGTGTGTGTGTGAGCGCGTGTACATGTGTGTGCGTGTGTGTGTGCGTGTGTGTGTGCGTGTGTGTGTGTGTTAATAAGTCCCCAAATGTGAAGACCTCCAGTGAAGGCTTTTAACAGCAACACTACCCTGACAGTCTGGACATCTCTTCCGTCATCGGACCTTGTTAACACAAACCTTATGACTCTTCTTCCCTTTCCCTCCATAGCTCTCCTCAGAAATGGTGATTTAAGTGTAGGAGTTGGCATTTAGTCTTCCTGAGGTGTAAGCTAAATCTGAATACAGATTACTTGGTGAAATTCTGAGACTGAAGTTAACCATCCGTGTATCCTTAGTAAAAACTGTGCATTACTATGCGTTATATTACTACTAGAGGCCCAATGCACGAGATTTATACACTGGGGAGGGCGGAGGGAGTAATGAGTGTCCCTCAACCCAGCCAGCGCCCTCTTGCAGTCTGGGACCCCTTCGGGGATGTCTGCCTTTCAGCTTAGACATCCCTCTTGCAGCCTGGCTCCTTGCTCCTTAGCACTGCCTTGGAGGTGGGAGACTCCTGCCACTGACTACCAGGGGGCAGCTCCTGTGTTGGGTGTCTGCCTCCTGGTGGTCAGGGCGCATCATAGTGACCAGTCGTTCTGCCGTTCAGTCGATTTGTATATTAACATTTATTATTTAGGACTAGAGGCCCAGTGGATGAAATTGGGGCACGGGAGTGTGTCCCTCAGCCCAGCCTGCACCCCCTCCAATCTGGGACCCCCGAGGGATGTCCAACTGCCAGTTTAGGCCCGATCCCTCTTGCCTAGAGTGACAGTGAAAAAAGTGCCATTCTTGTGACTACACACTTAATTATGAACAAATCTCTTTTTACATTGTTTACATTTTTGTAAAGTTTTCATGTTGAAGTAACAACTTGCCCTTCCTTCAGAGAAACTAGTAAATCAGAACTCAGCTGTTGAACAGTGTCTGAAACCCATATCCTGCCATTCTGCATTGTTTTCACATGTTTCTAAAGAGCAGCATTTTCTTAAGATTTATACTTTTAGAACTGTGTTTATGCTTGTAGTATTCTTTTCATTCTTTTAAATTAAAGGTGTGTTGTTATGTTTATTAAATTTAAATAAAGGGAGTCAGTTTTCTGATTAGTAAGACTTCAGAACTTGTATTCTATTTAATATCTAAAAATGGAATAAAAAAGTTTTGTAAGGCTCAATTTGCCATATAATGTCAACCTATATCTGTATTCCAGGCCTTGATACCAGTCCTTCATATACACAAGTAAACGTTATTAAACATGGACCTTTCCTGGAAAAACCTGCATTATTTGGGGACATCCTCAAATATATAAGTCACTTAAAAAAATGCAACATGAATCTTGAGGACATTAGGCTAATAAGTCACAAAAAGACAAATGCTGTGTGTGTGATTCCACTTGTATGAGGTATGCAGAGTAGTCAAGCTCACAGAGGGAGAAAGTACAAGTGTGATTGCCAGGAGATAGGTGGAGGAGGAAGGGAATGCGCCTTGTTTCTTAATGAATATAGTTCCAATTTTGCAAGATGGAAAAAAGAGTTCTAGACATTGTACAATAATATGAATATACCTAATACTATTGAACTATATACTGAAAATGGTTAAGATGGCAACTTTTATGCTAAGTATATTTACAGTTTTTAAAAAAGAATGTTGTAAATCTGGTTCTTCCAACTTTGAGAGTATGTTGACTATTCCTGGCCCTTTGCATAATCATATGCACTTTAAATTGGCTTACCAGTTTTCACATAAAGAAATTCTTGAGATTCTGATTTGAACTGCATTGATCGGCTTGAGATAACTGACACCTTTATATTGGTAAGTCTTCTAATTTTTAAACATGATAAATACATCTGATTTTCCTTTAAGTTTTCTCAAAAGTGTTTTATAGTGTTCCATATAGAACTCTTGCATATCTTTTGTTAGATATATTCCTAAATATTTGCTATTTGCGATGGTATTATAAAAGACACATTTTAATCAATTTTATCTAATCTTTATGTATAGGAACAATCTTTTAAAATCACCTGTAAAGTGTCTTAAGCATACATTCTTAAGCAAATGTGAAATACTTCACATTGTTGCACAACCAATCTTTAGAACTCTTTGTCTTGCAAAATTAAAAATCTATACCTATTAAACAAAAACTTCTCATTTCCCCTACTGGCATTCCTTGGTAACCACCCTCCTACTTGCTGCCTGTATGAATCTGACTATACTATCCTGTTTCCCCGAAAATAAGACGGTGTCTTATATTAATTTTTGCTCCCAAAGATAAGCTAGGTCTTATTTTCAGGGGATGTCTTATTTTTCCATGAAGAAGAATACGGTACACATTTATTGTTAAATGAAAATAAAGGAGATTTATCGATATTACCTTTATATGGTACGGTGGTTGTCAACACAAACCAGACAAACTGTGAATCCTATAGTATCAAGAATTTACTCATTTATTCAATGACAATCATATCATCATCTTCTGGAACATCATCATAACAATCCAATTCCTGAATTTCCTGGTGAATTTCTTGTGACTCCATTTCTTTCAGAATCAGTGGACCAAATCTCTCATGTTTAGCCTAGGGGAGGGCCTTATTTTCGTGGGGATGCCTTATATTTCACTCAGAAGGAAACCTGTAAGTAGGTCTTATTTTCGGGGAAACACGGTAGGTGCCTTATATAAATAGAATTAAACAAGCATTTGTCTTTTTATGACCATTTATTTCACTTAAGGTTTGTCCATGTTACAGCATGTGCCAGAATTTCCTTCCTTTTTAAAGCTGAATAATATTCCATTTTATGTATACATAACATTTGTTTTATCCATTGATCTGCTGAAGGACAAACTTAGGAATGAATGGAGGAGAATGGCAAGGAATATTTTGGTTTTGTGTTTGTCTCCTTTGGAAGAAGAAACAATGTGTGATCATCTATAAACTTCTCTGGAATGGAAGTAGATCTTGTGCGCCAGAAATATTTATAGGCTTGATGACTTTTGTGTATCCCATTTGTTATGTTGATGCGGATTGGGAATTCTGAGTTTTTGAAGGTAGTCTGAAAGTACTGCATGTTCTCACCAGCCAGCCAGATATGTGTGGACTGTAACTTTCGCCTTCTGGTACTCCGTTGTAAATGAACCACTGAACTACGTCCGTGTGCCAGGGAAGTTGCCAGTACTTGCTTTTGAATAAGAAGGGCCTGTATGGGAAATACAACTGAAACTTTCCGCAAAGAAAGCAAAACTCTTGAAGAAAGTCTGAAAGTAACCCTGGGATTGGTCTGGTTTAACCTTTCAGAAAGCTGATTGAATTACTTCTATAATTCTTTTTTAAATTTTATTTTACTTTAGATTCAACCCTATGATAAGATAAAGGCCAGAGGCTTACCTGACAATATATCTTCGGTGCTGAACAAGTTGGTGGTGGTAAAACTCAATGGCGGTTTGGGAACCAGCATGGGCTGCAAAGGTCCAAAAAGTCTGATTGGTGTGAGGAATGAGAATACGTTTTTGGATCTGACGGTTCAGCAAATTGAAGTGAGTAACATTTGGCCTTTCTCATGAGCTACTGAAGTTTTTAGTTCTTAAGTATTATAAGCATTACTTTAAAATATCAGATGTGGATTTGAGCTAGTCAGGGAGCTTGCTTTGCTATCTTTAGTCTCTGTTTTTATATAAAAAAGGTTTGGTGTTCCTTAGGGCACATCCCTAGGGTGATGTAAAAACTTTAAAATAGCTTTTGTGATTGCTGAAATCTCTGGACCTACTATTTGGATTCCCTTTGATGTCCCCTCCTCTCTGCCTGCTTTTTTTTTTTTTTTTTAAATTAAGATACTATATGTGTACATATCTTACCATTGCCCCCCTTCCCCCGCCAGCCCACTCCCATCCATGCCCTCACCCACCCCCCAATGTTTTGCATCCGTTGGTTATTCTTATATGCATGCATTTAAGTTCTCCCATGGATCTCTTCTCTCTCCCACCTCTCCCTAACCTTCCACTGTAATTTGACTCCTGCTTTCTAGGGCAGCCTTCATCACAGGTGGGATGATAGAGGTTTATTAACCCCCTTTGGGGAGGCCTGGGAAAATTTCACATATCTGGTTAGATGTCATGGGCTAAGAACTTATTCTTGGTTTCTCTCTTACTATAAAGTCATTAATCACAGACCATAATAAGCTTTTCAGGGGCAATGGCCTTTTTTTCATCTCTTTATCCCTATTTTCTACTATGGTGCTGACAACCACAGTAATACTAGCAGTAGCAGTAGCTAACATTTTTATCCAGCATGTACTTTACACCAAGTATTATTTTGAGCTCTTTATATGAATTAGCTTATTTGTTCCTTTAAAAAAATCTGTAAAGTAGGTACTCTCATCACCCCATTTTATAGATGAGGAAACCAAGGCACAGAGAAGTTGATTTACTTGCCCAGGGTTCCCCAGCTAGCTAGTAGGTGCAGAATGGACAGTCCGAATTCTAAGACCTTGTTATCTTTTCACTCTGTGTTGCCTCTTAGCTCTTTCCAGAGATTAAAAAGATTTCAGTTGGTGTATGATTCACAGCTCCTGACATCTGTAATCCTGAGATTAGGGAGCCATGTCTTTGTACCATTGTAATTTCATCCCACCGTGCTCTGGACACACACTAAATGCTTAGTCGGTGCTTGCTGAGGCCATAGGGCCCTCTGGCTGGGCACACTTTCAGTAAGTTTGTTCAAACCCCTGTTCAAACCTCGGCACTCTGGTGGGGAAGAAGGTGTCCCTGATCTGCTGACCTGCCTGCCACATCTTTGGGCCTCAGTTTACCATCTGCAAAATGTAGATAATAGTTTGTCTCAAAGAGTTGCAATTTAATGAGCAAGTAATGGTGAATAGCTTATCAAAATAGCTTATACTAAGAAGTTTTTTTTTCCAAAACTAATATACTCAGCTACAATGTTTTGAACGTTTTGTGATTAATAAGAGTTAATTTCTTTATGCAAAAAAAAGGTGAATAACCTGATTGTCATTTTCCTCCTTAGCATTTGAACAAAACCTACAATACAGATGTTCCTCTTGTTCTAATGAACTCTTTTAACACAGATGAAGATACAAAAAAAATACTACAGAAGTACAGCCACTGTCGTGTGAAAATCTACACTTTTAACCAAAGCAGGTACAAGGAGTAAAAACATGAACTCTGCGGGGTGTTATTCCTGGGAAAGGACTTCTTTGTCTTGTTTAAACAGAGCAGCCTCAAGGTGTACATTTGCCACAGATTCATGTTTGCAAGTGATCAATGCTGTTAGAGGCTGAGCATTGAGGTATTGCTGCAATCACTGTATAGGCCTGTACCTTCCAGTTCTTAAAGGACAGTCCTGTCCTGTCCAAAGTGCTTAGGGCAGCTGAAGTCTGTTTTCTGGGGGCATATTGGGCTCCAGGTGGGGCAAGGAAAATGTTTCTATATTCCACAATATTGATAACTTCTTTCCTATGGGAAGGAATTTTTTTTAGCATCCTAATACAGGCTTGGGGGAAATTTAATAGATTCTAAAGAAAATCATCTACTTTGGGGAAAGGAGAGTAAGTGAAAAAGGAATTCAGAGGAATTGTGATAAAGCCCAGGCAACTGTGGCTTCCAATTAATGACAGACACTGGTCTATGTGAATTTGTGCGAAGGTATATTTCTCTGTACCTTTACTTTTTTTGGTGTTTTTTTTTCCCCAATCTATTTTTCAAGGACTCAGAGCACAGGTGTTCTGTCTCTATAGTCTGGTTGGTCATTAGTCTGTTTCAGGGCTAGCTCCTCTTCCCCCAACTGCCAGTCTCTATGTGCGCTCTTGCTGAGAGTAGGGAGGGGGCAGACTTCCCTGAGCACTAACCTGCTATTGATTTTCTGTGGAAGAAAGAGTACCTCCTCTGAGTATGTTTATAAGAATGGACAGCTTTCCCAAAATAGGTTTTCAGGGAAAAGAACTATCCCATGACCAAGTAAGTTTGAGAAAACTTACTTAACATATCTCCCCTCTTGGAGAGTCATAAAACATATCAATATCTTAAAAATATGAGGTGCTCTTCCATCTGTATGGGAAATTTTTTGCTTTGCAGCAAATAATACTATCAAGGAAACTGATTTTTGGACACAGATAGTGAGATTTTCTTAAATGGATTCACATCGGATTAAATTACTAATGACAGTCTGAAAACGAGGGAAGTTTAATTTAAATGCATTGTTTTTCTTGAAGGTCTGGAATGCTCCAAAGAGTTGATATTGAAAAAGAACTTTTGTTTTTTAAGGTACCCTAGGATTAATAAAGAATCTTTACTGCCTGTAGCAAAGGATGTATCGTACTCAGGGGAAAATACAGAAGCTTGGTACCCTCCAGGTCATGGTGATATTTACGCCAGTTTCTACAACTCTGGTTTGCTCGATATCTTCATTGGAGAAGGCAAAGAGTATATTTTTGTGTCTAACATAGATAATCTGGGTGCCACAGTGGATCTTTATATTCTTAACCATCTAATGAACCCACCCAATGGAAAACCTTGTGAATTTGTCATGGAAGTCACAAATAAAACACGTGCAGATGTAAAGGTAATACTGAGAGGAAGCCTTTTGGGGATTCACATATTCACATTTCCTAGGTTATGTAGTTCATACTTTTTTTTTATTGGAAAGTCTCCAAGTGAAGCAGAACACATTTACCCACTTGATATCATTGTAAGAGAATGAAATAGTGTTCTGTAGAGCACCCTAAATTCTGATTGATGTAACACTGTGTATACAAATCCAGATTTAATACTATAAAAACCATCATTTGGGGGGAATACTCTATATGGGCAATTTTAACTAAAAACATTTCCACATATATTTGTAACAAATCTGAAACATGTGAAAGCACTTTCAGTAAATTTGTTCAAACCCTCCTTATTATTCTAGTTTGAGGCTTACATGTCTTTAAATTTGATTTAAAATTTTTAAAAATTTTTATTGATTTATTGGGGTGACATTGGTTAATAAAGTTATATAGGTTTCAGATGTACAGCACTATAATACATCATCTATATATTGTACTGTGTGTTCACCACCCTTCCAGCACCACTTAAAATTTTGATTTTTAAACTTTGCACGTTTAGTAGTAATGACAGTTGGCCTTTGATGAAATGGTATACAAGGTTTTAATAATGACCCCACAGAGAGTAAAAAAAAAGTGGGCAGTGAATACTAAAATGGTCAGTCCCTGGGCTGGGTTCTGTGCCTCTTATAAATGTCCACATCCCACAAGAGTGAATGCTCCCCTCCCCTCACACTGCTGTGGCCTCTGACTGTAAAAACAACTCCAGGCTGAGGCCAAGCAGGGGGTCACTTCTCATCCACTTCTGCCTGTCTTCCCTTTTCTCCCCGTATCCTAGAGCCAGTCAGAGCGGGGTTATGGTAGGACTGGTCATTTGGTGATAGACTGTGGATTGAGAATAAGGGGAGTGCTGTTCCTGAAGCCAGCCTTCAGAAGTGAGGGCTTTGATGTGATATACTCCCAGGGCCTTTATCCTGGACAAGAGGGCAGATATATTGTGTAAAATGACAAGACAGCCTACATTATTTTCTTTGGTTCTGTCTTCATAAGTATATTGCTTTGTATCACGGGTAGAATCACTGCCAATGCTTTTTATTCTGGGGGATTTTACTTTCGGTATCTTTTCTGTAACATTCAGAGGCTATAAACTGTGGTGGGGCTGTGTTGGGAGGGGCGTGGAGCACTCACTCACTCTTCTCTGCCTTTTCCAGGGTGGGACACTCACTCAGTATGAAGGCAAATTGAGACTGGTGGAAATCGCTCAAGTGCCAAAAGCACATGTTGATGAGTTCAAGTCTGTATCAAAATTCAAAATATTTAACACAAACAACCTTTGGATCTCTCTTGCAGCAGTTAAAAGACTGCAGGAGAAGAATGCTATTGACATGGAAATCATTGTTAATCCAAAGGTAAGCCAAGGGCCAGTTCACAGGTCCTGAGATCACTTTAGGCTACACACAGACCCCCCTCCCCCCCCCCCCCACACACACACCCGCTGGCCTGTCCAGTGCATGAGTCACTCCTCTCTGCCAAGCTCATCTCTCCAGGTCCTGGCCCCGTCTTCCAGTCTACACCAGCTCTTTGGTGTGCTGAGCCATGGTGCTTTTACTTGGCTCTGAGCTATGGTGGTGGCAGGAACACAGGGCCCAAAAGCAGAGGGCCTACCTCAGCTTTCTTGTGGCTCTGATACTTATAAGCCTTATGGCCACCGGCACCTTGCATAACTTTTCTAAACCTTCAGTTCTTTATCACAAAATGGAAATATTATTGAATGGAAGATCTGTGATGCTGAGAAGAGAGCACATATGAATAAGTACCTGACTTATGGAAGGTGCTTGATAAATGTCACGTCTCAAAATTCTGTTTTCTTCAATGGATCTCTTGAAACCACTCCCCACATATCACCTAACATGGAACTGCATTGTTGAAACTTGTATTTCTCTCCCTTTCTTACAGACTTTGGATGGAGGCCTGAATGTCATTCAGTTAGAAACTGCAGTGGGGGCTGCCATTAAAAGTTTTGAGAACTCTCTAGGTATCAATGTTCCTAGAAGCCGTTTTCTACCTGTGAAAACCACATCAGATCTCCTGCTTGTGATGTCAAACCTCTATAGTCTTAATGCAGGATCTCTGACAATGAGTGAAAAGCGGGAATTTCCTACGGTGCCCTTGGTTAAACTCGGCAGTTCTTTTACAAAGGTAAGTAATTATAAAGATGTGATATACATGTGAATTGGAATCTAATCAGTCTCTGCTGCTGACCGGTCATATTTCTACATCTTTTGTGCCATTTAAAGGGAATCGACTTTAGAAAATAAAGCTATAACTCACTTTTGAACTTGATTTCTATAGAGGAGAAAGGAATGTTTAAATTTTGGAACATTTTATCTTATGTCTTTTCTAAGACTATTACTGCTTTCATCAGAAGGAGAATGTTAATTCTGGCTTTACACAGCCCCTACATGTACTTGGCAGTGTTCTCGGTCCTAGGTATTTAACAGTAAATAATACAAGGGGCTTGCAGCGGTGGAGCTGGCTCAAGGCAGAGAAGTGTCTAGGCACATTGATGGGGCAGCTGTGTGGCACGCATTTCCGAGTGCCAGTCACAGGCCCATACCCAGCACAGAGGACTGTGGGAACAACCACCACTTGCTGAGATGATGTGCATTGTTCCTGAGACCACTTCCATTAGGAGCACTAAGGCATTTGTTAAAAAAGGCAGAGTAGGAGGAAGTTGCACAGACATGCTCTCAGGAACAAGCTGGAATTACAACTGAAATACGGAAAGGCTTCCTGAATAATCAAGGGAAAACTCACAGGAGAGGACCCTGATACCCAGGGGCCAGTTAGAGATGGCATAGAAGCTGGCAGGAGGGGTGGAGATGTGAAAGGATTGGCCGGGCACCCACAGATGGCAACTGAAGTCCTGGAGAGAGATCTCAGCTGTGGGGGGTGCCACTGAGAACTCTGGGATCTAATCCCGAAGCTGGGCTGCCCTGCAGAGCGCTCCAAACTGAGGAGGATACCCTAATAATTAGCTGTGAAAAGCAGTGGAGTGCTGTCTGCCAGGGAGTGTCAGCTGAAAGTTTGGGCGCCCTCTTAAAGGGCCAATGCACAAAAATTTCCTGTGGCACCATACCCTGCAGGAGATAAGAACATTTGCTGCCTCGATTTGCCAACGGGCTGAGTGAGCAATAGCTAGTTGCTCTGAGGAAGAACATGTTTTAAGAACATTTGAGAGTATAATACCCCTGGTGGTCAGTGCACATCATAGCAAGCACCTGGGAGCCAGGCAGTGGCAGCACCATCCCCCCCTCTTCCCTCACATCCCCTGGTCACAGACTATGGGGTGATTGGGCCCCTGCTTGCACCTACCTTGGCCGGCTCCGCCCGCTCACCTGCTCCACCATCCTGCTGCAGTCCTGCTTTTGTCGCCCGCCATGTTCTGCATTGCCCCCTGGTGGTCAGTGCACATCATAGCAAGCTGTTGAACTCCCAGTAGCAGGACCCCCCCAAGGGAACAATATGCATATTAGGCTTTTATTATATCGGATGTCTGATCTGCTCAGCTGTATTGTAAACTATTTGATGGTAGGGACAATGTTCTATCCCCTGGTCTCTCCTGCACAGGATCTAGCATTGTAAATGCTTAACAAATAGGTTCTTCCAATAGAAGGCCTAAACTTGACCATAAACAGAATGTTTCATTAAACTATTTTATTTTAACCCTTACTCCATTTTTGAAACAATTTATATATTCCTATTTTTCTTTCAGGTTCAGGATTATCTAAGGAGATTTGAAAGTATACCAGATATGCTTGAATTGGATCACCTCACAGTTTCAGGAGATGTAACATTTGGCAAAAATGTTTCATTAAAGGTATGTTATGAAAATTATAGATCTTCAGCTTTACAAACAGGTTTCATTTACTAGTCCTAAATATACCTTTATTTTAAGGAATACTTCCTAGGCTGTACCAGATATTTACATTTTAAAAATGAAATAGCTTACTACAGTATTTAGTTTTAACAATGTCTTCCATTGATATACAGCATAATTAAAATACAATAATAATAGTTGTATATAGGAATCTTGTGGAATACAGCATTCAAATGGAAAGCAAACACTAATAAATAATTGGGCTGGCACTATTTTATTGAAATAGGACAACCTTTAAAATAGAATCACTATTAAATTAGCATTAATTCACTAAAGATGACTATTTGAATCTAAATGAAAGTAGAAAAGTAAGAACTTCATTTATACTGTGTATAATCTATTCCTATTAAACTAACCTATTGTCATCACTATTATAAACAATAGTCATTCACATTACTTAGTACTTAGGTACTTTTATAATCATCATTTCAGACTAGTGTAAGAAGGACTATGGGTATAAGTATTAAAACTCAGAACCAAAGATACAAGAACTTTTTCTAATCAAGTATTTTTTTTTAAATCCCATAGCTAGATTTCAGTTACTTAATGAAGATTTTTTTAAAAACAAAAAATATATATGTATGAGATATAGCAACATATATACAACCACACATAGAGAATTTTATTGTTGATATTGCCTCATTGAAACAGTTTCACTTAAGATATGAAAAATTTTTCTGTAAACTATTCTTAATAAAAACTCCAAACTGTTATGTAAATATAAACTAAGCACCCTTTAGTTTCTTTAATGCTGGTGGCTTTGCAAGTAGTTCTCTGAAAGGGCGTCATGTTGTGGCACTGGGTCCACTTCTCACTCCTGGTACCAGCTCTGATGACTCGAGGAATCCAGAACTACTGCCAGGATGATACAGAGGACACATTACAGTTTTCCTTAATATGTTGTTTTTCAAGTTTAATGTTGTTTATATAGTTACTCCATTATCAGTAGAGTTCTACATAAACTTGATAATTGTAAGAAAAATCAATTGCATTTCAGCTTCAGCTGCAAGTACACTCTTGCTTTTTATTTTCCCTTAGGGAACAGTTATCATCATTGCAAACCATGGTGACCGAATTGACATCCCACCTGGAGCAGTATTAGAGAACAAGATTGTATCTGGGAACCTTCGCATCTTGGACCATTGAAATGAAAAAATACTGTATACACTTTATACTAATCATGGGCTAGTTTCTTACAACAAAATGTTCTCTAGCATTCTATAATAGGCAGGTACTTTGTGTTTACTGTACCTGCAGAGTTAATTTTTAAAGTAGAGTTTTCTGCAGTATGCTTTTATTTTAGTCTAAGAAAAGCACAGATGGAAGCAATACTTTTCTTCTCGGAAGAGGATCCTGGAAGTTCATCTTAAAGTACAATATTGTTTAGTCTTAAAACTGAGGCAGCTCTGTTGTAAAATCTTTTAACAGAGGCCTCAGTGATGGTCACTTTGAATTGCTTGTGATTTCAAAAATAAAGCTGTGAAGCAATACCTGTGTACACTTATACTTTTCAATGTTAACTTTATGAAATGAAGAAAAATGGTATACTCTGTTAATCAGTTGGAAGATTTATTCTTGGAATATTTATACTCACTGGCAAATTACCTAAAAAGTCAACTTTTTGCATTTCTAAGAATCTTAACCACATCATTATTTCCATAGGAATTAAATTTGAAGGTATTTATTAGTACCTTTCATTTAGTTCTAAACCTGGGTGCCTGCCATGCTTTCCACAGACTCTCCATTTATTGAAACAAAGTGGTGTTTCTTTTCCCAGCTGAAAGAGCCGGGGTGGGGTGGGGAGAGGTAGAGCATTTCTTTCACATCCTTGTTCTCTAGTATAATGGGTGGGGGTATAGCTTTTTTTAAAGTTCCCTTTCCTTGAAGCCTGCTTGTCACTGAAAAATGTTCTTGAATAACCTTTCAAATCAGGTCTATTACTGGTATAACTTGTTGCTTTATTCTAAGAATCAATTACATTTTTCAGTTCTCCCATACTTATTTTTTCAGTAGGCTGCTTGTTTAAAGTTTACTGTATACTATTAAAAAAGTCTTTTAAAATCTGGTAATTGTTTACAGCTTTATTTTAGACAGACAGTTAAGAACCAATGACATACCTCTGTAATGAAAAGGAAAGAAAACAGGCTTTCCTTTTAGGAGATCAAAGAGCACAAAATAAAACTATTTCATTGTACATAATCACTACAAGTTAGGCACTCTGACAGGGTTAGGCAAGATTCCTGGTGTGAGGTGAGACACAGGCACTTTCATTTGTAGTGTGCTGCTGATGCTGTTTTGAAGGTAACTATTATAAGGTCTTACTCTGCCCGGTGTAGCATACACTGAAAGGTTGCGGGTCCCAGACAGGGCACCCATCTAGACTGCAGGTTCAGTACCCGGTTAGGGCGTGAATGAGAAGCAACCAATTTATGTCTCCCTCTCCCCTCCCACAAACACAACATCCTCTTTCCCTTTCTCTCTTTAAAATCAATGAACATCCTTAGGTGAGGATTTTTTTTTTTTAAAGTCTTTAAATAAGTTACTCATCACCTTGTATTTCTGGCCCCAACACAGCAGCTTATATTTTCTATTTCTCCCTGGTCTTTGTTCATATACACATCGAAAGTAACTTAAAAACAAGAATCCAAGGGAGCCACACTCCACATGTTAAATGTTAAAATGAAAACTCATAAGTAGGCAGAATATATAAAAATGTATTCTTACCTCTGCTAGAAATAAAAAGGCAAAAAAGAAAAATCCTTCGTATTTTTTTATAAAAATACAACTATTAAACTTCAGGCTTTCATATACCACTTCTCAAAAGTATTTAAATTAGCTGCATAAATAAATGCTAATACCTTATTATTACTTGTGATCATCCTTTCAAGTATTTTAGACTATTCTGGAAGGCTTCATCCAGTGGTGGTAGAGAGATTAAATATGCGTCACAGAAAGCCTAAAACTTGGTCACTGAAAAAAAAAAATTGAATTCCTAAATCCAAGCAATCAAAAGATGTTTATTTTTTTATAGAAAGATCTGTAAAAAAATAATTTTCAAACAGTTTTACTTTCATAGAGAAAACTTTCTACAGAGATTGACTTAAGTTTTTAATATTTTAAATTGTACCATCATTAAATAAAGGTGGGACACCATATGAATTTCATTGCACTGGAAGAAATGCAAAGCATTTTTTAATATAAAGTATACAGAGCATTCTAGTCAACTACAGCTGTGTTACAGCTATGTGTTCTTTTGGATTTGGTCCAAAGAAACCTGAGTCTGTTTCCAGAGAGAATGAAAAATATAGACACCTGATCAGTTATTCTTCACTGAAGGAAGCATAAAATTGGCATTCCTTGTAGATCCCACTGAAACCCAGTTTCCCCAACACCGGTCCTTTCCTTTTCCCTTCCCCATCCCAGTTCTCTTGGGTTCCAGGCTCAGTTCTTGAATCACAGGCATCCATATTTTCTTAAACACGTACATCCCACGGTCAGGCTACCCAGTTTTCCAGTATGTCATCACCTCTTCTGTTCCCAGATCTCGGCCATATTTAGGACCAAATCTTTAAGGCCTTTTAAGGCTCGAAGATTTCCAGTGTAAAAAGCTACATCTGCTGTGACCAACCTAAGCATTGGAGAGAAAATTATTTTTAATATCACACTTTCTATTCAAATAAAGTAGCAATGCTCACAGAGTCAAAAGTCCTATCCTAGCTGCTCAACTGTTAGTTAAAATTCAGATTTCCTAGGAACCAAAACAGATTTCCTATAAATGTCAATATATCTTAGTAGGATTCCTGCTATCATGTGTTCTATTCCAACAATAAATGTTTTTAAAAAGAATAAACCAATGCAGGTTGGACTCAGTTTCATAATTCTGCCCAATAGCTTTGTCTTAAAACAATGAAATAAAATAGAGAAAATAACAGGTTGAATTGTTTTTTGATCAGTTGCCACTAGGGCAGTGGTCAGTAAACCTCGGCTCGTGAGCTACTTGCGGCTCTTTGGCCCCTTGAGTGTGGCTCTTCCACAAAATACCACATGTGGGCCCGCACGTACAGTGCGATTGAAACTTCGTGGCCCAGGCGCAGAAATCGGCCCGGGCAAGTCCATTTTGCAGAAGTGGTTCTAATGCCACGCCACACTCAAGGGGCCCAAGAGCCGCATGTGGGTCGCGAGCCGCGGCTTGCTGACCACTGCACTAGGGTATATATGTATGTGACTAATAAAATCACAATACTCATAATCAATACAACAACACTTGATGAAAAGAGAATTACACTGAACTCAAAATGCCTATCCCTGGAAAAAAAATATTCCTGGCAACAACATTTAAACCCAAATATCAAAGCTCCATACACAAAAAACAGGGCAGGTCCGATTACTTGTTGATTTAGCAGTTTGTAAGAGACAGGAGGGAGTCCGGCTTTAATATTTTAATGAACACCTAAGTTCTGGATTGCTGAACTACTATCTGGGGCAAAGGCATTCAAGTACCCTTAATATTTGCACTATATTCTAATTTATAAATACCTTATGCACTTAATGTTTCATCATTTACCATATGTCAGAATTTACTAAGGACCATATTTTTTGTTTGAAATTAACCTAATTTAGGGTGCTTTAATATCTATAAAAAATTCAGATTATACTTGTGATAATATGGTAAGTACACTGAAACTGACACCAATAGTTAAAAAACAAACAGCTTTTCTAAGGCAATATTGCTACATTAAAATTAAGCAAAATTAATATAAATCTACATCTTAAAATACTGTTATGTTTAACTAAAAAACTGATAACATAAAACCAGGCATTTGCAACATATAGAACCAACAAAGGATTAGGTTGAGGTTATATGGAAAAATCTAAAATCAAGAAAAATGGACAAAGAATGTGAACATGAAAAATCACAAGATGAGGATCTCTGAATGACTAATATATGAAAATATAACAAGCATTAAAAAATGCAAATCAAAATAAAATACTATTGTCTTCCGTCATACTGGCAACAAAAAATCTTCACAGCAAATGTTGGCAGGATATAGAGAGAAAAATGGTGGGAGTGTACGCTTGGTGCAGCCATTTGGCAGAACATTCTGGCAATACCTAGTAGAGTGGAAATGTACATTTGCTCTAATCTACTTGTAAGTATATAGCCTAAAGAAAAGTATGTACATATTCCCACTTTTTTGTAAATCTATGAAGGAATTAGGCAGACTTTATCCTCATTTTATAAATAAGGCACAAAGGTTAATTAACTTTCTCATGGTGACATGGCTACAAAGTAGGGCCTTGAGTCCTGTCTGGATAGGAAAGGCTATCGGGTAATCTAAACAGGTGCTACAAACCCACACTGCTTCAAAACAGACAGTTTTTAAGGTCAGTTAAATAATTGACCATTTATAAAAACACTTAACGGAGATATAGATAGATATCATCTCCACAGAGAGGAAAAAGCAAAAGGTTGCTGATTTTATAATTTTTCAGCTCCAGTATGATTATAGAAGAAAAGGGCAACATAATGAATAAAACCAACATAACAATTTGATAGGGGAATAGTAAAAATATTTTGAAAAACATACCCATTTTGAGGTCCTCCATCATTTATCACATTTAAATGAGACAACTGCTTTTTCAAGTGGAATTTATAACTTGCATTAATTCTTAAAAATAACATCTGGAAAAGAAATAAAACTTAAGTTTCTTAAAGCTCTACTGAAATAGAAGACAAAAGTATCAGGAGTTATCAATATCAAATCAGAAAAAGAAATTTAAGTAGCCTTTGTTTTGGCATATATCTTTAAAATGCTCCCTTGAAAATATTTTATTGCTAGTTCAGTAAAAGTTTTTGCCCTTAGCTGGATAAAAGCTTTTTTCTCCCTTTTCAGTACTATTTCTTTTCATATTACTTATTAATGCCTTTCTGCCCCTTAGAAGAAGTCATCTGAGATATGTAAATAGCATATATCACTGACAGGTAAAAAGAATACAAAGAAATAGAGAATTCTGTAAAATATTAACTATGAACTTGACAGAGGAAGCAAAAAAAGCCTTAACAGTAGAGACAAGGACACCTTTATCCTTGCAACTTTGTAATATTACCTGGAAGTATTTTATTGCTCCTGCAGGCACACTTTTTAATGCAATGACCCAATAATTCTTTGGGAAATACCTGACCTGAAAGTCTATACAATTAATCTATGGAAAATGTTTTGTGGAATTACTGGTATTCAAGTGATAATACTGACATAAAATCTATCATTTGTGCTCAGCTTTGACAACAATTCCCTTTAAATTATGATGTAGATAAAAACACATGAGATACCTGTATGCCCAGCTCCCTGACCTGGTTAAGCCTTGCACTAAAATTAAACTCAGATGACATCAAGTTGGTCAGAAAGTCAGAGGTAGGGGATCTTATGTGAGGAATGGAAAGGATGGCTTGGCTAAGGAAAAATGAGAAAGAAAAAGAGATCCTAGTGGTTGTTCTGTATCTTATGGATCCTCTTCAATCCTCAGCTCCAAATCATGAGGTCAGTATGATTAATGAAAAGTTAGGGAAGCATGGTGATAGTATGTAAGATGGAAGCCTGAAGTGGCATGGGAAAGGAGACTAGCAGGAGCAAGAGTAGGCAAGAGTAACTAAGAAAGCTACCTTTACTCCCAAATACCATTTCCATGGATTGAACCAATTAGAGACCAATTGAAATAACTTGTCTAAATAGCAAAAATCCCAGAGAAAGTTAAGTTTATATCCCAGTCATACAACTAGGATTGTATTATAACACTATCATCCTACAACTATCTGGTATAGAGGGAATGAGCTAAGCTACGGTGGGTAAAAAAGACTGAGGGGAAAAAAACTGGAATCTTTTAAGTATTGAGAGAGAACCTAGGGAAATGGGAAGTAGCAATGTCACTGAAGAGTGAAGAGAGAGTCAGTGTCGTCGTCTTCCCCCCCCCCCCCCCCCCCCCGCCTCTCGCCAGTGCCTTCCCCTGTCTCCTTTCCCCAGGTACATTTCTCTTGCCTCTCCTCCTCCAAATGCCAAGGGCCCTTCTTTTGCCTCTGTAACTTGTTTCCTAAGCCCATTTCTTCCACGCCTCACTTTTTCTACCTCTGTGATTTTCTAAATAAACTTTCTCTTATTTACAAAAATACAGTGAGAGAACTCTGTGATATTTCTGTAGATGAAGACAGTAGGGACAGTAGGTGGATACTTCATAGGTGGAAGGTGCTAAAAACTACACATTTTGCTTTTTCCTGGTTTGTGCCTATTATAAATCATTTATGCTTATTTAATAAATATTAATAAGACATGTTAATTTACTTTATGTGTCATCTGATTATTAACTCTATCATTAATTCCTCCCCTATCCAATTTGGGTAATATAATTCATATTTGTTGATAAATGACAATTCTGATTTTTAAGGAAATAACGTAATGAGTGGTGTAAACAGAATCTGGGATCTCTGGATGGACAAATGGAAAATGTGCTTTTGAGAATTGCTAACCATATAGCAAAGCTATTATTGCTTTGACTTAAAGGGCACTTTGAAATCAGAATTTTTTATCCATATTCCGTAAGTCAATATAACAACTTAAAAAAATATTAGAATATGAACTAAGCTTAATTGTACCAAAAGGATATAGAACACTCTAATTGTACATGCATATTATACTATATTATACTAGAGGCCTGGTGCACAAATTCGTGCACCAGTAGGGTCCCTCAGCCTGGCCTGTGGGGTTGAGCCGAAACCGGCTCTCCAACATCCCCTGAGGGATCCTGGATTTCAAGAGGGCACAGGCCAGGCCAAGGGACCCCACCAGTGAACAATCAGGTTCAGGGAGGGACCAGGAGAGGGCTCTAGGGCATGCCCTGCCTCTCTCGCTCAGTCCCTATCAGCCAGTCCCCCAGCAGCAAGCTAACTTATTGGTCAGAGCATATGCCCCCCTGGTAATCAGTGCACATCATTGTGACTGGACGACCAGTTGACTATCTGCCCCCCTGGTTGTCAGTGCATGTCATAGCAAGTAGTTGAGGGGCCTTTGCATATCATTAGCATATTACGCTTTGATTGGTTGAACGGATGACTGGATGACCAGACACTTAGCATATTAGGCTTTTATTATATACGATATGCTATATAAAAAGTAGTTTTAGGAATTACTACTCACTTGTGTTTGCTCTTCTGGAAGGAGGTCAATTATAGCTTCATGCATTTTTGTCATTTGTTTACAAATATTCCTGAAACAGGCAGAAGGAACAGGAGCTTTCACCTCATACTGGCAGGGAAAAATAAAGAAAATTATGTTAATGTCCCCACAGAAAAAGGTTTTCTGCCCCTACACATCTAACTAATATAGTGCTTCAGCTCACACTTCAACTGTGATCTGATTTTACTCCTGCAAATCTCAAGAACTCTTCATTAAATATCCTAATCTACTTTGAGAAAGACACATAACCTTGTGGCTAAGAGCACAGGCTACTTTCCTTAAGATGGCCTGCTTGCGTTCAATTCTCAGTTCTTCCAGTTGTTAGCTATGTGACATTGGGCAAGTTCCCTCATTTTTCTACATCTCAAAGGGCTTGCTATGAGGATTTTATTATAGAAGATGGTCCATAGAAGACAAAACAGTGCTTGATACAAAGTAATACTCAAAAAATGTTAGCTACTAATCTGTCTCAATATATAATAATGAATCACTGAAGTGGGCCCTTCAAATGAACAGATTATTTTTAAAACATGATTTTAAGAATGCGTCAACACGATCATATCTGAAATTACTTAACTCTGGTAGAATTAAAATGTTTTATTTCTTTCATAGGTAGGCCAATATAATAATCACTACAGGCCCTGTGCATGAATCCATGCACCAGTGGGATCTCTTGGCCTATCCTGTGGGATCAGGCCAAAACCAGCTCTCCAACATCCCCTAAGGGGTCCCGAATTGTGAGAGGGCGCAGGCCACAACGAGGGACACCACCAGTATATGCCTGGGGCCAGGGAGGGACAAAGGAGGTTGGCCAGCCAGGGAGACCGCGGGAGGGCTCCAGGGCATGTCCAGCCTGCCTCGCTCAGTCCTGATCAGCAGGACCCCAGCAGCAAGGTAACCTATTGGTCGGAGCATCTGTTTCCTGGTTGTCAGTGCACAGCATAGCAAGCAGTTGAGAGGCTTTAGCATATTATGCTTTGATTGGTTGAACAATCAACCAGGCAACTGGATACTTAGCATATTAGGCTTTTATTATATAGGATATTTACCCTAAGGTTAAGGAAAGACATATGTTTATATGTAAGCATATGGTTATTTATGTCTATTTATAATATGTGTATGCTTATGTGTGTATATGTGTATGTTTGAATGAAAGGGTCAGATACGCTGCTAACTGGAGTATACAAAGAAGAATTAGAGGAAAGTCCCTTTGGGGAGCTGACTGTCTAAAAATTAGTTGGTGTTCCAGAATGCAGACATTGCATGATGTAGGTACATGGGTAAAGGGCATTTTGATGGTCGCAGATATGGCTTCCTAAGCAGCAAACCAGGACTGCTGAGTCTTTAAAGGGAAAAAAAAATTAAGTAAAAGTGAAACAGAGAGCAGGCTTATGATTGCCAGACGGAAGGGAGGATGGGAGACAGAGTGAAAGAGATGAAGGGATTAAGAAGTAAATTGGTAGTTACAAAATAGTCATGGAGATATAAAGTACAGCATACGGAATACAGTCAATAATATTGTAATAACTATGAATGATGCCAGGAGGGTACTGGAAATATTGGGGGAAGAACTTTGTAAAATATATGATTATCTAATCACTACACTGTAAACCTGAAACTAATACAAAATAATGTTGAATGTAAACTGTAATTGAAAAGTAAAATTTTAAAAATTAAGTGAAAGTATTTAAAATAGAGTACATACCTCAAAGCCATTCTGCAATCTGATTAATACTTATAAAATGCAATTGTGTGATTCATTAGTTTATAAACTTTGGAGTTTTGCTTCTGCTTAAAATTTAGAAAGCTGCAAGAGCATGCTGCCACTACCCTAACCACAAGAAAAAACTGGAATAATTTATAAATAACTTCTTAAACTCACCAGAGAGCAGAGGACACAGAAATCAAGGAACTAATTCCAAAGAGTGACAAGGCCCTCTAAGGAGATGGGACTGTCTCATTTTGGGCAGAGCATAGGGATAAGAGGTAATCAACATAGAAGCAGATAAGAAAACAACAAACCTTTTAACAAATTCTCAAAGGCCAAATGTGGGCTAGCAGAGAGTACATGAGGACCCTACCACAGCAGAGTCTGCACTCATGCACAAGGGTCTTCAGTAAGTGCTTACCAGCAACACTGGGGTCAGGACAGGAGACCACAGAGAGATACATGCAAGCAGGAAGAGGTACCACTAGGAAAAAGTAACAAATGCCACCTACTTCCCTGAACCCTCTTCTTATACAAAGCAAAAAACTCAAGTATCTGAGAAAAAGCACCAAACTCTGTCATCCCGGGCGTCTTTGTGTGAGGATTAGAAACAAAACATGCCTGTTCCAGAGGGAAGGAAGGAAAACACCTTAAGCTGAGGATCCTACACCAATCAATGCAGAGGTTGGCTACCCCTGGAGGAGGGGTTGGAGCAGAGAAGGCTTCTCCTTTAAGGACTCACATGACCTGATTTCAAGACTTAGAATAATGTTACAGTACAGACATACAGATCAATATTCAGACAGAATACAGATCAATGGAACAGAAGAGAGTCCAAATTGTTATAAATTGACACAAAGATAGTCTACTGATTTTTAACAAAGGTTCCAATAAAAAAGAAAATTTTTTCAAGAAAAGGTATTAGATGTGAAAAAAAAAAACAAAACTTGGACCTATACTTTGCACTACAGTTGTCCCTTAAACCAGTGGTTGTGGTCCATGAGGTCTGAAAGGTTGGCGACCATTGCCTTAAACAACACATGTGTTAACTGAGAAGGTGTACTTATTCACGATATCTCAACAGACTGTGATAATGCTTCAGAGAATGGTGGTTTCTCCTCTATTTTTATGCATTGCAATCAAGTAGGTGGGTTACACGAAATCCATTGGTGACAGATGAGAGGCAGGAGAAAGAAAGCGGGGGGGACCCCTAGGATTGGATAAAAAGTAAAAGGATACACATACTTAGGTGGGTGCAGGATAGTTAACAATCAATAATTATCATAACAACAATAACAATGACGGGATTTATGGTATCTGTCCTGGAGCCCAGCACATTAGATTGTGCCCCATGGGGGTCCAGAAAAAAGAAATTTACAAGTAACCTAGACATTTCGAGGATGCTATCATAGGTGCAAAAAGACAGATAGGCTCAGTTAAGGTAAAGGTTCACCTTGTCAGTAAAGATACCGACCTAAGAGGTAACTACCCACCATAACTGCTTTTAGTTAAAGTTTAATTTCAGACCATCCTTTGTGGTTACTTTAGGTTTTTGAGTTTGCAAGACTGCCATGCAGGCCTCCCCTGAGCTTGTCAAGTTAGTATGTGGCCCCTTCCGTCCACATTTGGTTATCCTTCTTTCCCAAAATTGTATTCTCAGATAAGAAAATGAAAAGCTAAAAACTGAGAGGCTAACCAAAACTAACCACTAAACTTTTTTTTATATGAATTAAAAATAGGGCCATACTACTGGGCAACTCCTAGAATAAAAAGTATATATCGGGTCTAGTAATAATTAATGTCGCCTTTAAACATTCGTTTAAAATCTTGCTTGGCGTTGACTTGTATTGACATAACCTTCAAACACGTGGTATCTACAGAACGTGTGAAGTGCAATTAACAAGTTTTGCTTGAAAAAGTTTGTGTTTGGTTTGGGTTTTGTTGCAAAACTAGGGCTAAGAAGATGGCGGATGAAGAGCATATTCGGCACTGCATGCTTTACGAGTTCCAATTAGGAAGAAAAGCAAGTGAGGCTGCAAAAAACATCTGTAGTGCTCTTGGTCAAGATGCAGTTAGCGCCAGAAAATGCCAGCATTGGTTTGAGAAATTTCGCGAGGGAAATTTTTCGTTAGATGACAAGAGTGGTCGAGGCCATGTGTCCAATTTTGATCAAGAAGCTCTTCAAGCTCTTTTGGTGCAAAATCCTCAAATTACCCAACAAGAGCTTGCGACAACTTTAAATTGTTCACAAAAAACAATTTCCAATCAATCGCGCGCACTTGGCAAAGTCCAAAAGTTTGGAAAATGGGTTCCTCATGAGTTGACCGACAACAACCGTAATCAAAGAGTCACAATTTGCAGTTTGCTCCTCTCTCGTCAAAACCGTTTGCCGTTTTTAGAGCAAATTGTTACCGGAGATGAAAAATGGGTGCTGTATGTTAATTTGAAAAGGCGGCCTCAATGGTTGGACAAAAATGAGGCTCCGCAGCCCACGCCAAAACCTGACTTGCATGCGAAAAAAGTGATGTTGTGTGTTTGGTGGAATTTTAAAGGAATTCTTCATTATGAACTTTTACCATCTAACCAAACCATTACAAGTGCAGTGTATAGTGCCCAATTGGAAAGGTTAGCCCAAGCTTTAAGAGAAAAAGAACCCGCGCTGATTAATTGGAAGGGCGTAATTCTTCACCACGATAACGCACGACCGCATACTGCAAGAATCACTGCTGAAAAACTGCACCAGTTGGAATGGGAAGTTCTCCCTCAACCTGCAAATTTTCCTGATATTGCCCCTTCCGATTACCATTTGTTTCGTTCTTTGCAAAACTTTCTTCTTGGAAAAAAATTTAATAATGAAGAATGCCTCAAAAATGCATTGACCGAAGTTTTTGAATCAAAATCACAAGAATTTTACAACAGAGGGATTAAAATGCTTCCTGAGCGTTGGGCACAAGTAGTAGAAAACAACGGCAACTATATTGTTGATTAAATTTTGTTGTATTGTTTAAATAAATTCGATTTAAAAAAAAGTATTAGAAAACGACATTAATTATTACTAGACCTAATATGTCAGGGAGGGGCAAAAAGACACTTGTTAATAAGGGGAGAACACATGTCAGAGTAACCGAAGTCATCGATGGGGAAGGAAGTAGAGCAAACACTAAATCAGAATAGTCTGGGTACATTTTTTACATTAAAAAAAAGATATAAGATATGGGAAATGGGCATTGGAAATTTATAAAAGACTTAAGAGACATAATAACTACATGTAACATGTAGACACGTAGAAGTCTTTGTTCAAACAAGTTATTGTGAAAAAAATTTGTACAATTGATAAGATTCAAATAGAAATAAGTATTAGAGGATATTAAGAAGTTATTGTGAATTTTGTCTGGTAGAGTGGTTATATAAGAAAGTGTCCTTAGTTTTTAGAAATACATACCTGAAGAATGCAAGTAGAAGGAAAAGCATATCAAAGTGCCTTGCTGTATAAGCTTACTCTAAACAATGCTCTTGGGCCAAGTATAACTAAGAAAACCTTCAAATTTTCAAGTTATAAAATTTCTGCTTTCTCCCATGATACGTGTTTGGAAACTTAGTTCGAAAAGGAAAGAGTGACAGATAGGGCAAAAGTGATTGGGACTGATTAAGTGACATTTTTCTGAATATACCCTCCCAGTATAATTGAGAATTCTTTGGAAAATACTGCTTCTTTTAACATCCTATAGGGAATGGGAAGCAAACAAGAAACAAATACTGAAACTGATTACCTATGAGGAAAATAACAGAGCACCTCAGACTCCACATTTTTAAAGTTAACACATTTTATCACAAATTACTTTCTTTTCTATTTCGATCTTTGTTCTCTAAACTTTGTACTGGAAGGCTTTCAGACTAAAACCTATTTTTGAAGAAGATACATATTTGTCAATGCAACTAATACAAAATTACTTCTGTACAGTGTTTCTTTCATCTTTGAAATCATCCCTCCCTCCCCTTGGACTCCTTAGAAGATGAATATCAACTATTTGGGCAATCTGAAGATTTTATTGAGTTTTTTTCTAAATCCTAAAGAATTTGATTTGTTAAGACAACTATGAAAAAGTCACAATGCCTTTTAGCAAAGCCAAACAATTTATATAAATCATTACCTTAGATAACAGCTTGTCAAATAAGCTATCCATTATCGCTACAAGCTTAGCTGATATTTCAGCTATGTGGTCATGGTAATCCTGTAATGAGAAATAACAGTACATTTCAAAGCCCTTGGGCTACACCTAAAGAAATACTTAACAATCACGAATTAAATTTATGAAACTCCAACAGAAAATATATGAAAAAGTACCTTAGTGATATGATCAAAGTGCCTAAGCATGCTATATTGCTTAGGGTGCAGCCGAGCTTCAAAATGAGCCCGGATCACAGGAATGTAGTGCACAATTAACTGCAAACAGCGTGAAGAAAGAGCTGAAGATTCAAGTGGTAGACATATCATGGAGAAACAAAAAAGGATATTAGTTTACTTTTAGTACATATCAAATTAACTAAAAACATCAATGAATTTTACACAGATCCCAATTTATTTCATAAATGAAGAATATTGTAGCAGAAAGCAACATATTTGGTATTGAATAGTATAATGAACATGCTAATTTTCCAAATGGACTGAAGTTGTATTACTGGCATGAGGAAGCTGGTGCACAACTGATTCTCTCCTGATACTCAGGTATCTTTCATCCCAAAGTACTTTATACATAAAGCATCTTAACACTTCCCACAGTGGTGCAACTTCCAAATAACATACTTGCTAAAGTGGAAATTCCTCAGAAATTAAATTTTCAATTATGGTAAAACATGAAAAAGCGAAGTAGCACTTGCTACTTGTAAAGCCCTTGGTCAGAGCCACAAGAACATCTACTAAAAACACAATGAGTACAGTAGCATAATTACAACACCTCAGTAGTGAATTAAATTCAAGAATACATACCCAAATTTTTTGTAGTTATTGTTTTTAGTCCAACAACTTGCAGTGCACCAGCTCCAAGAACTAACTGACAACTTCTTGAATTGAAGTACTAACAAAGGAAGGAGAGAGAAAAAAAATCCAATAATTTATTAAAAATTATTCTTCATATGTTGGCAATGTTCTAAAAATACACATTTCTCTTTTCTCTCATTCACTGACCAATCTAGTAGGAGAAAGTAGGATCTATTTATGTAATAACAAAAAAAAGGGGGAAGGGGGAGGGTATTCCTAAATGATAATATTTATTGTCTGGTAAAAAAAAAAAAAAAAAAAAAGTTAAATTCTAAAAATCAATTGTTCAGAAATTATCCTTTAATTTGCATTCACAGAACTAGTTCAGTCATTTTCCTCAGTTATTCTTACTGGATAGTCCTATTTTCAAAAGGGTAGCAAAATCTCTCTGGACTACAATATGACAACTCTATTTTGGGACCAAATTAATTGATAGATTAGACATTTGAAAAAAATGAAAACGTTTCTTCATGTTAGCAGTTAAAAATATCTGTTAATATGAAACAGCTGAATAAAATTATCACTACATTTTTATTTCACATCAATGGTTCTGAAAGAATGATTTAAGAAAAATCGCTAACCTTAGTGAGATGAATTTTGTAAAGTTCAGTGAATTCCTTCCATGCACATTTGAAACCAGTCCAGGTTTTTTGACCTAAGTGGCCTCAGTCATGTTCAGCACCTAACGAACAAATCATCTCCTGTCTCCAATGTCATTAACAACTCTATGGGTGTAATGAGGAATCACTAAGTGTAGAGTGAGAAAGAAGCAAGTGGCCTTCTTCCAGTTACATGTGATTTAATCACAATAAAATGTCATAAAATTAATGTGTTAAAGATAACTTAAACTTGAAATGTCTTAGAGTTGGAAGATAGGTCACACCTAAAGAATTACTTCTACCAACTATGTTTCCATAACAGAATAAAATCATACCCACCTTCAATAAATCTGACAGACGAGTAAGCATGTCAGTAGTAACAGATGGGATATTATCCACACACTGGCAATATTCCAGGATAATTCTTATCAACAACAATACAGTTCTGTAAGAAAATAAAGATGATTCAGTAGGCAGTCAAAACATAAAAATCAACAATGATCTTGGTAACTGCTAAATTAAGTGTTTTACCTACAAGCACAGCATAGTAAGAATTCATTGGGCTGGGGAGAGAAATTCCTAGGGTGCAAAATTAAGGAGGCACTCAATTTCAAAGTCATGTAACTGCAGGGTCAGTACTTGCATGACATTGAGAATGAATACCTCCTTACATTTTGTGCTGTGGGCACAAGACTCTCTGTATAACATCTTAATTCTCTTCTATAAAGCAGATATCCCATTTTTTGGCCAATTCAGAAACACTGACAGAAAGATTACCCAGTGTTTCTGATAATGTAGTAGATCCTCAATCATAACTGTTGAATTAATGGAGGGAACCTAGTCCAGATTTTCTTAATGAGATCAAAGAGAAACTGTGGCTTCTAAGAACAACTTAACTCCTAAGATGTTTATTGGTAAGTCATATGAATAAAAAACAAAAGGGGCAGCTGGTTTGGCTCAGTGCATAAAACATTGGCCTGCAGACTGAAGGGTATTGGGTTCAATTCCAATCAAAGGCACATGCTCAAGTTGTAGGCTTAATCCCCAGTAGACGTGCAGGAGGCAGCCGATCAATGATTCTCTCTCATGATTGATGTTTCTATCTCTCTGCCTCCCTCTCTGAAATAAAAAAAATATATATATTTAAAACAAAACAAAAACAAAAGGGGGTTCTTTGGAACAGTGGTCGTCAACCTTTCAGACCTCACGGACCACTGGTGGGGTCTGAAAAGTAATCTCACAGGGTGATCTAATTATAAATTCCCATCTAGACAGGTTATGGTGGTCTCACTCCAGGCCTATAAATTTAATAAAGATGTATCTTTGCATTGAGCAAGCCCCATCCATTGTTTCTGTACATCCAGGTTAATAAGCCTTTGAAATAAGTCTAACTACACTAAAGAGAGCACATAATGCTGTTAATTGTCCTATAATCCCATCCCCACCTTGCTTTCTCCCACCTCCATGTGATCTTTCTTCTGCTTCCTCCTTAATTTCAAATACATAAAAGAAGATGCAAAACTGTTATTCTCTAGAGCAGTGGTCAGCAAATTCATTAGTCAACAGAGCCAAATATCAACAGTACAATGATTGAAATTTCTCTTGAGAGCCAAATTTTTTAAACTTAAACTTTTAACGCCACTTCTTCAAAATAGACTCACTCAGGCCATGGTATTTTGTGGAAGAGCCACATTCAAGGGGCCAAAGAGCCACATGTGGCTCTCGAGCCCAAGTTTGCTGACCATGGCTCTAGAGCAGTGGTTCTCAACCTTTCTAATGCTGCAACCCTTGAATACAGTTCATGTTGTGGTGACCCCCAACCATAAAATTATTTTCATTGCTACTTCATAACTGTAATTCTACTACTGTTATGAATTGTAATATAAGTATCTGTGTTTTCCGAAGGCCTTAGACTCTACTGCAGTGGTTCTCAACCTGTGGGTCACCTAAGACTATTGTGGTTGGGGGTCACCACAACATGAGGAACTGTATTCAAGGGTCGCGGCATTAGAAAGGTTGAGAACCACTGCTCCAGAGCATCTGAGATCTTGCTTCCTGGCATATGTCATCAGTTTGACTCAAATAAACTCTTATAAAAATTCTCTATAGGACTGGAAATTTTTTACATTGATAGTCACAAAAGATTCTTTAAAAATGAGAAAGTCAATAGTTCATTAGCAGGATATATCAGAAGTTGAAAAGAGAACTTTAAATTACTTGCAAGTATTTTCTTTCATTTACTTGAGGGAAAGAGAGAGGAAGAAGAGAGGCAGGGTGGGAGAGAGAGAGAGAAACGATTTGTTGTTCCACTTATTTATGCATTCATTGGTTGCTTCTTGTATATACTATGACTGTGGATTGAACCTGAAACTTTGGTGTATTAACCAACTGAGCTAGCTAGCCAGCTGGGGCTCTTGGGAGGGTTTTAAATTGTTAATCTAAAATTTCCAACTCACATCAAGTGGGAACTAGAAGACCTATGTTTAAAATAATTTACTCAACTAATAAAGAAAAATGTGTCACTCACCCAACAACAGCATACTGTTGTCCCTCGACAATGAGAACTTCAGCTGGTTTCCTTTCCTCTGTAACTAGGGAGTAAAGCAAATAAATAAGGAAGACATAGGTACAAGATAAAATATTGTAGAAAAATTTAAAGTAGGAAAAAAAAAAATGGAATAAGATAGTTGCTATATAGAGCCTGAAACTGCCTCATTTCTAAAAATAAATATCTACACCTCAGTAAACAATTTAGCACAGAGTAAATATAATAATATACTGAGTTTGAAGTCAAAGATATTTGGATTTGAGTCCCAATACCACCAATTACTGGAATCATGACCTTAGGCCAATTAATTAACGTATTTGAGTTTCAATATCTATATCATTTAAACATGGATAACAATATTATCTTTCAGGGCTGTTGTTAATGAAAGAGATAATGATTACAAACTGTCTATACTATAGGTTTGGCACATGATAAATGATCAGTAAGTAGTAAAGCAAAAAATAAATGTTGTTTGGAAAAGCAGAACATTTCAACTGGTTGTCTTTATTACAAAATGCAAGTTAATTCCTATAGTCCATGAAAATAATATATATTTAATTTCAAGATTTTAATCCAGAAGTTATTTCAGCATACAGTATCTTATCTAATAATAGACAAACATGTGAATTGACTGTACCTCCACTACATCTACAGCCAATCAGAGTATGCAAATTAACCCAACAAAGATGGCAGGTTAATTTGCATATGTAGGCACAGAATGGCTGGGATGTCTGCTTTGAGGGGGAGGGGGCGGTGGAGGAAGCTACAGGAGTGGTGCTTCAGACAGAAGTGAGGACTTGCCAGCTCCTGGGTGGCTGGGAGTAAAGCCAGGGGAAGGAAGGCCTATTCTTGCACAAATATTGTGCAACAGGCTTCTAGTTTATTATAAAACAAAATTCATCATGTTGAGGTGAAAAGAAAGGTGGACTGGATTATTACCTGAATCAGCCAAATTATCATGCTCCCCTAAGCTTCAAGTTTCCTTTAAGCTCTAAGACAGCGTTTCCCAAACTTTTGACATATGTGTACCCCTTCTATAATTTTCATAATGCTGAGTACCCCTCGTACTCAGGAGAACGTAGAATTAGGCGCAGCTAAGCACGTTGCAGTCATATCCCCATCAAATTCTGGTGCAACGCGTACCCCCACCAAACTCTTCCTGGGGGTACGCGTACCACACTTTGGGAAACACTGCTCTAAGACATTTGTGAATAATAAAGGGGCTATGTACAAGTTCAGTGACAGAATGTAACTCCGTAGAGTGAACTGATAATAAAATCTAAACTGGGCAGTTCATGGTGGGCAATACCTCAGGCCTATAACTTTCCTACTAAAAGTTATTTTGACCTTAAGCAAAATCTGTCCATTGTTCTTGTGGTTCTAGGTTAACACACCTTTCAGACTCCTTGGAAATGTAACCACCCTCCAAAGAGAACACAATCTTAACTAGTCTGTACTTTGCTCTCTCCCACCTTCATGTAATCTTACTTACAGTACATTCACTCCTTCCTTCCAAATATATAAAAAGAAGTACAAAACTACTTACTGAAGGATTTGAGATCTTGCTTTTCAAATGCCATCAGTTTGGCTCAAATAAGTGCTTATAAAAATTCTGTACTGGTTTGGACATTATTATGTTGACATATTAAATGTCTACTTCCTCATTTCAAAGTAAAGAAATTCAGTGTGATATACTTTCTAATCACAATTTACTCTGTATGTCATATTAAAGTTTTTGAGGACAGGAACTATGTCTGAACCAATTCTCTACACTGCAGAGAAAAGGCATTAATAGCAGTTAACAGAAAGGGCCCTAAAGTCAGACTGCCTGAGTCTGATCTCAGCTCTACCACTTCCTAGCTATGTAAGCTGGGCAAGCTGCTCAGCCTCTTTGTGCCTCAGTTCACATATTTGTTAAATGAAAATACTAAAAGTGACTACCTTGTGAACCTGTAAATGAGATAACAATATAAAGTGCTTAGAACAAACTGTCGAGCATCAATATGAACTGCTATCCATTAACTTTCATTTCCCCAATGCCTAGCCAAGTAACTAGTAACTCAAAAAATGAATGGTGGATAAATAAAAACCAAGGACCCTTAACTTGGTAAGGCCTAATAAAATGTTAATAAACTTCTAATAGCTTATACTTTCTTCTCTGAGGAAAGAAAAAAAAGACTGGATCAGAAGCAGGGTATATAGTGAAACTACTACTTCTAGTATTCTTCAACAGGAAATGAAAATAAATAGCCTATTTGCAGAAATAAATAATTAATTCAATCACTTTTTTTTCCATTTTAATTAAAAAATCATGTTTAGATGACAATGGATTGCAAGACTGAGCTGTTCATGTCTGAGTCATCTAGTATGGCACCATTCTTTAATAGAAAGTTGATCAAACATAGCTTAAAAGAGCAGCAGATGAGCAATAAATCTTTATAATTTTAAATGAGATTTAGAATAATCAGTGTATTTTTTCTTTTAGTTTTTGCTACTTGAGTGCTTTTGCTTTGTTAAAATCATCAAATCAATTTAAAAATGGTGACCACAACCCAGCACTGTTGTTATCTACTAACAATGGTCACTACACAACAGAAATTTACATAATTCTTTCCAGTCCTCCATCTATATGAATTAATCTATTTTACACTTGCCTTGAACCCTCCTCTCTTGATCAACAGAATAATCTGGTGAATATAATAGAATAAGAGGTGTAGAAAGGGAATAGACTGACAATCCTCGGGGAAGAAGGGGTGTGGGTGGTGTGGGAAGAGACTGGACAAAATCATACACCTATGGATGAGGACAGGGAGGGGTAAGGGTATGGGGTAGGAGGGCTGTGAAATGGGTTGAGGGGAGCTATAGGGGGAAAAAAAAGAAGCAACTGTAATAATCTGAACAATAAAGATTAAAAAAAAAAAAGAACATAACTATGAAATTATAGAATGTTGGTTTCAAATCCCAGCTCATCACATTTATACAAAATTTCTTAACCCTTGAAAACTTCATGCTTCCTCATTTCCTCAGTGTTAAACAACGTTAATAGCCCTATGTAATAAAAGCCTAGGTGACATCACGCCCTTATGTGACGCCACCATAAGATGGCTGCCTTCATGTTGTCACAAGATGACCAGTAGTGGAGGGCAGTTGTGGGAGATCAGGCTGGCAGGGGAGTGTAGTTGGGGGCAATCGAGCCAGCAGGGGAGGGTAGTTGGAGGTAATCAGGCCAGCAGGGGAGCAGTTAGGCATCAATCAGGCTGGCAGGGGAGTGGTTAGAGGGCAATCAGGCAAGCACGCAGGAGAGTGGTTAGGAGCCAGCAGTCCCAAATTGTGAGAGGGATGTCCGACTGCCCCCATGAGGCCCCGGATTGGTGAGGGATCAGGCTGGGCTGAGGGACACCCCCCCACTCCCGTTGCACAAATTTTGTGCACCGGGCCTCTAGTATCTTCATAACAGATTGAGTTTTAAAACTAGAGTTTGAAAAAGCACCTGGTACAGTGTCTGACATATGATTACCCATCAATAAATATCTAAACTATAAATCATCACAGATACTTTTCCAGTCAACTACTAACTAAACTGGGAGTATTAGTTCTAGGCTTGTAAGGAGGTATTGTCAATTAATGAAATATTAAGTATTCCTACCAAATAAACAAATAATATAAAATTGGAAGAGTGTGTGTGAAAAAACTCACATACCCCCTGACTTTTTTTCAGGTAAGGCAATCTTTCCATCTGATAGAGAATCAACAAGATCCTGAAATTCTGCAGGAACATCAGCTTGTTTCCAGCGCTCATTGTCTAAGAGGAGGCTATTTAAAAGTAAAAAGAAAGATAAACCTTAATAACATTTTAACGCCATTTTTCTTGGTTGAAAATAGCTGAGAAAATACATAAAATTTTTGTTATATCTTTTAATAATAAAAACTACAAATAAGTTAAATTCAAGTAGAGCTCATGCAATACAAGACACTGAGTTTTTAAATAGCAATGACTATTAGCTGTATTGTTAGTACATAAGACTTAAAGTGTTGAACACATTAGTAAATTGAAATAATTCATAAATAGTATAAATACTTTCAGAAAATATTTCTTTTTTTATATGTCTTAGCCTAACCAAGAAGAGTGATGAAACAATTATCTTCCCTTGGAGTGGGAGAAAAAGGAAATCTATTAAGGATCTTCCTGATAAATATTTTAATAGGAATAAGCATTCTAACTTCATTTTGAAAACCTAAAAATTGTGATTTTGATTCCAAATATGCCTTTAATTAAAAAGGAAATCTTTGTCAGGAGTTTGGTTGGCCAATCAGTTAAGTTTCTTCTTAACTGTTTTTGTAAAGAAAAGGAAAAAATATAATTGTTTTTGTAAAGAAAAGGAAAAAAATGGACAGAATAGATATAGTAATGATACCTGAGCTTAGTTTTTCTCTCTTCATGAAACCTGTTTACAAATTTATTAGCTTGGTTCTGAAGTGCTCCAAGTAATGACATGCTTTTTCTTCCACAGATCTGTTCAGTGTCTAAAATGAATGTTTCCATTAACCTAGAAAGTGTTATGAATTCCGTGGAATTTAGCTTCTCAAGAAAACCATCCTAAATTTAAAGATAACACAAAAATTGTGACAGTATATCAACAAATATGGATATGCTACAAAACCAATCAGTTTGACAAATGTTATTATTTTATTTAATATATTAATTCAAAAAATTATTTTGAAATCATTATTTTAATGATTCTAATACTTTAGTCTCAAAAATTGAATGTAAAAAGCTTAAGATGTCTCAATTTTATCCCAACCCATTTAAGATACAGCAGCTCAAATAAATTCACAATCTACACTAATAAAAGAGAAACATGCAAATTGTCTGTATCTCTGCTACACCCACCAGCCAATCAGTAGCAAGTATGCAAATTAACCTAACCAAGATGGCTTCAGCCACAAAGCGAGCAGGAGGCTTGGGTTTCCCCAGCAATGGAGGAAGACAAGCTTCCAGCCCACTCTGGCCAGCCCTGGAATCTGCTCACGGCTACAAAGTTTCAATTATAGAAGATAAATAAATCCCAGATACCAGAGCCTCTGCTTGGGTTGCTTGGAAGGGCGTGGCCAGCCTGCAAACCACCACAGGCCCCTCACCCAGGCCACCCCACGCCCCAAGGAACCCCCATCCTGATCCGGGACACTCTTCAGGGCAAACCAGCTGGCCCCCACCCATGCACCAGGCCTCTCTCCTATTTAATAAATGAGTAATATGCAAATTGACTGTCACTCCAACAAACACAAGATGGCTGCCCCCATGTGTACACAAGATGGCCGCCACAAAATTGCTAGCAGGGGAGGGCAGCTGGAAGGGCAATCAAGCCTGCAGGGGAGGGCAGTTAGGCCAGCAGAGGAAAGTTGGGGGTGACCGGGCCTGCAGGGAAAAGCAGTTGAGGGGGAGAGGGAGGACTCAGGCCTACAGAGGAGGGTAGTTAGGGGTGACCAGGCCTACAACTGAGGGCAATTAGGGGCAATCAGGCTGGCCAGGGAGCAGTTAGGCATCAATTAAGACTGGCAGGGGAGTGGTTAGGGTGATCAAGCTGGCAGGCAGAAGTGATTAGAGGCAATCAGGAATACAGGCAGGCAAGCAGTTGGGAGCCAGCAGTTCTGGGTTGTGAGAAGGCAGTCAGACATCCCTCAAGGGATTCCAGATTGGAGCGGATGCAGGCCCAGTGTATGAAATTTGTGAACGAGAGTGTGTGTCCCTCACACACATATAAAAACTAGAAGCCTAGTGCACAAAAATCGTATACTTTGGGGGGTCCCTCAGCCCGCCTGCGCCCTCTCGCAGTCTGAGACCCCTTGGAGTATGTGCACCTGCTGGATTAGGCCCAATTCCCCTGGCAGTTTTGGATCCCTGGCTCCTTACCATATGCCTGCAGTGGAGGTGGGAGGCTCCTACCACTGCTTCTGTGCTTGCCAGCTGTGAGCCTGGCTTCTGGTGCCACCCCTGTGTGTGCATACTGACCACCAGGAGGCAGCTCCTGCGTTGAGCGTCTGTTCCTTAGTGGTCAGTGCACGTCATAGCAATCGGTCGATTTGCATAATAGGGTTTTATTATATATTATATAAAAACTAGAGGCCCAGCGCACAAATTTTTGTATGAGTATGGTCTGGCCAGACCTCCCTGATCAAGGTCGATTGGGCTGGTTGGCCGTGGGGAGGGGATGTGGCAATTGGCTAGCCAATCCCACCTTTGAATGGGGGTGGAGCTGGCTGTGGGAAAGGACCACAGGTGGTTGGCCAGCTGGCCCCGCCCCCTTGTCAAACTCCTGGTCATGGGACAATTTGCATATTAGCCTTTTATTATATAGGATTTCACAATATTCGAGTTCAACTAATTTTAATAATATATTGTTTGACTAGTTACACTCACATGTACAAATTAGCATTACTAATTTCAAACTAATTATTAAGGAATATTTCAAAGTAAGTATTTTATTAAATCATTTATTTGAAAAGAATACTTGAATACGCTTTCCTATTTCTCTTATTTAAATTATTTTAACATCGTCTTAATACTTAATCTTACTAAGAGTTAAAAATATAATATGCATTATGGGGAACATAGGGACATAAACAGGGATATGATTCCAGATTTTTAAGATAATTATACTATATATAAAATATCTAAAGGTTTATCAAAACAACTAACCTTTGCTCTTGACATGAGAAATTTGACAGCTCGGTCATGGCATATGTCTGAGGCACTATACAATAACTCCTGGATATTATTTGCCAGCTTTCCTAGTTCTAAGTCAGTTAATTTCATGTCTTCATTCACCCTGAAAATGATAAAAAATAGATTCTAAGTCAGGGAAAGTTGTGAACACATTGTTCTACATAGGTGACATATCAATAAAAAACAAAATGCTATAAAGTTCTCGTTTAAGGAAAAATTGTGATGTGCAAAATACTTCTTTTTTTTTCCCCTTTTTTGGTGTGGTGAAGGATCTATCACTTAAACAAGTCAAGACAATACAAATATCTTTTACCCGAATCTTATATAAGAATAATTTTCTCTTTCTACTAATATTTTTATTTTTATTTATTTTTATTTTTTTTAATCAATCTTTATTGTTCATATTATTACAAAGGTTCCTCATTTCTTCCCCCCTCCACCAGGTTCCCACCCCACCCTCTGCCCCCTCCCCATCCCCCATTGTCCTCATCCATAGGTGCAGTTTATGTTCAGTCTCTTCTTCCCTCAATTTCCCCAATAGTAAATCCCTTTTCAGATAGTAAATCAGTTACTTAGCATTTTCTCATATCAATAATACCTCCACATGCCCAATGATACACTTCACACAAAAGACATTTCCCAATAGGTCCACCAGCCTCATCCAGGCCCCACCCAAGGCACTCACAGATCAACACCCCAGTCCTAAACTAACTCAACACATCCAGATCTAAGCCTTCATCACTTGATTCAGCAGACCCTCAAGTTCCCACGAAAGTTTCCAGCCATGTCTGAGAAGCAGGCGTGGGGCAGGGGCAGGCAAGGAGCGAGCTGTTCCGGGCCTGGCTGCTCAGGGCCTGGCCTCTGTTGCTCTGGTTCATTCCACAACCAGCTGCTCCGGGTCTGGTCACTGCCGCTCCCGACCTAGTTGCTCTGGACTTGGCTGCTGCTGCTCCGGGCCTGGTCGCTCCCAGCCTGGCAGCCGCTGCTCCGGGCCTGGCCGCACAAGCCCTGGCTGCTCCCCCGGGCCTGGCCGCTCCCAGCCTGGCAGCCGCTGCTCCGGGCCTGGCCGCACCCGACCCGCCTGCTCCCCAGGGCCTGGCCGCTCCCAGCCTGGCAGCCGCTCTACTAATATTTTTAATATCGATAGTTAAGTTCAGACTCTGGTTGGAAACTTTGCAAAAATTACAGCAAAAAAAAAACCCCTCTACTTGGGTATAAAGTGGTTGCTCTAATAGGTTGTGCACAGGTATTTAAGATGACACGATGGAAGGAGGGAAAGAGGAAGGAATGTTATTTAATGACAAACAAGATCTCTTTTTACTTACAATATGAATGTTAACATTCAGTTTAACTGAACTAACATCTCCTGAGTATTTACTGTGTATAAATGCTTGGCACTGGAGGGGAAATAATAGATCACTATCCTCGGTGAACTTAAAATTCAACAGAAATATTTATAAGAGGTTATGTATCTTTTTCCAGTTCTGAGACGGAAATGTATCACTTTTAATTTTTATACATTTTCCCCTGGTATATGTAAAGATCACTGATTCCATGGCAACAATTCAGTTTATATAAACCAAGTTAGTGCCTTAGCATCATTTTCTCCCTTTCAGTTGAATTAAAATAATTTTCAAAGATATAAAGATTTTGATGTATATTAATTTTTTAGGAAAACCACTACTCTAACTGGGTTAAATAAGGTATTAATGGAAGTTATTTACTGCTATCCTTCAAAATTATAATATCACTAAATGTAACGTTCTAAAATAATAGAGGGGTTAATATTCTTAAAGTACTCTCACAAATAATAATTTGTTTGGTTCTCACATTCTGAAGCAGGTAGGTAAATATCTTCTGTATAGTTGAGGACACTGAATCTCTAAAGGTTTAAAGTGACTTACCCAAAATTAAAAAGATGAAGAGGATAAGACCAGAATCCAGAATTAGTGTAATTTTATTTCTAATGTGCTAAACTGCCTCTACTCCAACACTTACTTTTACATAGATGGTTCAGTACTATTTCAATGCCTACAAACTGCTTAAATTTCAAAGTTCAAATTTATTATTAAAATAAAATGTTATTTTCTGAAGAATTTCTAAAATTAGTCACTATATAACCACAGAATGATAATTTGGAACTCTTGACAATATGTTACCAAGTCATAAAGATATAAAAAGAGATCAAATGAAAAACAACTCCTATCTTTAAAAATTAGAATAACAATTCACAAATCCGAAAGTTTGTGTGTGTTTTTAAGTCATTTATTTAATTATTATTAATTTTGCTTTTTAAAATGATTTTTAATTTTAAGGTTAATTGGATTCTTTTTTATGTAAATATGGGGAAAACTTCACAAGTGTTTCTGTGTATATATGCAAAAGAAGTGAAAGCAGTATCTCAAAGAGTTTTTGCACACCCATGTTCAAGTAATAGCACCAACAACAATAGCCAAGAGATGGGAGCAACCCAGGAATCCAGTGATAGATGAATGGATAAACATTCATTGCCTATGCATACAATAGAACAGTATTCAGCACTGAAAAAAGTAAATTCTGACACATGCAACAACATGGTTGAACTTTGAAGACATTATGCTACGTGAAATAAGCCAGACACAAAAGGACAAATACTACTGTAATGAAGTGCTAGCCACAGCGATTAGACAAGAAGAAAAAAATAAAAGGAATCCAAAATGGAAAAGAAAAAACTGTCATTATTCACAGGTGACATGATATTATCCATAGAAAAACCTAAAGACTCCATAAAAAAAACTACTAGATTTAATACATGAATTTATATCCTGGCAATGTAGCAGGATATAAAATTAATGCCCAGAAATCTATGACTTTTTTTATACACCAATAGTGAAGTTACAGAGAGATTAAAAAATAATCCCATTTACCATTGTACCAAAAAAATTAAGATACCTAGGAATAAACCTAACTAAGGACCTGTATTCTGAAAACTACAGGATGTTGGGAAAAAAAAAAAAAAAAAAGATAGAGGAAGACATAAACAAGTGGAAAAATATACTGTGCCCATGGATTGGTAGAATCAACATCATTAAAATGTCCATATTACCCAAAGCAATCTCTAGATTCAATGCAATCCTCATTAAAATACCAATGGCATATTTCATAGACTTAGAACAAACTCTTCAAAAATTCACCTGGAATAAAAAAGGACCCCAAATAGTCACAGCAATCCTGAGAAAGAAGAACAAAGTTGGAGGGATCACAATACCAGATATCAAGCTACTACTATTTTACAAAGCCATTGTTCTCAAACTGCCTGGTACTGGACAAAAACAGACATATAGACCAATGGAACAGAAAAGAGAACCCAGAAATCAACCCAAGCCTTTTGGCTCAATTAATATTTGACAAAGGAGGCAAGAGCATGACAGAGAAATGGAGTCATGACAGACTCTTCAATGAATGGTGTTGGGAAAATTGGACAGATACATGCAAAAAAATGAAATTAGACCACCAACTTATACCATTCACTAAAATAAACTAAAAATAGATAAAGGCCTTAAATGTAAAATGGGAAATCATAAAAGTCTTAGAAGAATCCACAGGCAGCAAAATATCAGATATGTCATAGCAATATCTTTACTGATATAGCTCCTAGGACAATGGACACTAAGGAGAAAATAAATGGACTACATCAAAATAAAAAGCTTCTGCACAGCAAAAGAAACCATCAACAAAACAAGAAAGCCCACTGCATAGGAGAACATATTTGCCAATGTTATAACCGATAAGGGTTTAATCTCCAAAATTTATAGGGAACTCATACAACTTAACAAAAGGAAGATAAACAATCAAAAAAAGGGCAAAATACCTACATAGACACTTTTTGAAAGAGGACATATGAAAACATGCTCAAAGTCACTATTCATCAGAGAGATGCAAATCAAAATGACAATGAGGTACCATCTTACGCCTGTCAGAATGGCTATCCTCAACAAATCAATAAACGACAAGTGCTGGAGAGGATTTGGAGAAAAAGAAACCCTAGTGCACTGCTGGTGAGAATGCAGACTGGTGCAGCCACTGTGAAGAACAGTATGGAGTTTCCTCAAAAAATTAAAACTGGGACTCCCATTTGACCCAATAATTCCACTTCTAGGAATATATTCCAAGAAACCAGAAACACCAATCAGAAAGGATATATGCACCCCTATGTTCATAGCAGCACAATTTACAATAGCTAAGATTTGGAAACAGCTAAGTGCCCATCAGCAAATGAGTGAATTAAAAAACTGTGGTACATTTACACAATGGAATACTATGCTGCTGTAAAAAAGAAGGAACTCTTACCATTTGCAACAGCATGGATGGAGCTGGACAGCATTATGCTAAGTGAAATAAGCCAGTTGGAGAAAGATAAATATCACATGATCTCACTCATTTGTGGAATATAATGAACAACATAAACTAACGAACAAAAACATCCAGAGACAGAGAAGCATGATCAGACCATCAAACCTCAGAGGGAAGGTAGGGGAGGGTGGGAGTAAGGAAGAGAGATCAACCACAGGACAATATGATCCACTTGGAAATTCAAGTCTTTGAAAAATCAAAAGCTGTAAATCAAAAAGATTTTCACTACATACAAAATACAAAGTGACATAGAAGAGAAGAAAACTAGGTAATACTGATCTGAGTTTTAGGAAAAGTTCTGTCACTGCTGACTTTAAGTCATCTAAACTCTTTGAAATGAAGGCATTTACTTAAATGATTCCTTTCTAGCCTTAAAATTCTGCAATTCTCGATTACTTTCAAAGCTCATCTCCTAACTACCTTCCATACATTTCCAAAACGATATGTTTCATAAAATTGATTTTTTTAAAAGAAATTCCCGAGACCAAAGTTTACATTGTTTTTCAATAAACTGAATAATCAACCTACTAAAACTATTAATAAGATGATTCAAAATCTTGTTAGTTGGCAGCAGTCACCATACTCACATAATGTCCACACCTCCTGGAGTAGCTGATGATGATGTCTGCTCTTTACTGGATGAAGAATCAGTAGTACATTCTGGTTCAGATACTGAATCACTGCTGCAGGGCTCACTATTTGGAGATGCATTTCTTTGAGAGGTAGTGTCAATTGTTATAGGTGTTAATTCATTCTCACTGAATGCATCACTTACAAATATGCCTTCCTGGATTAAATAAGCCACCTCTGTGTCCAGGGAATTATCCTTTGCAGCATTCTTCTGTTGTGAAATCTCCTCCAATTCTCTAGTTCTTTGGTTTTTGTCAAGAACTGAGAGAACAACATTGTGAATGATATTTAACGTTGCCTACAAGAAAAACAGGATACATTTTTAAAGGATTTAAAATGTCTTGCACCTAAAGTTCCTAAAAGTAAATCCTGTGTATGTACTTTTGAACATTTCATAAATGAGTCAATGTCATGTATGTAACACTGTAAAGGTGACTTGTGAAAAAGAACTGCTCAAGAGAAATGGGTACCCTAAAGCTTAAGTAAACTTCTGTAGTTTAGTTGATTTTGTAAATTAAAATATCCCTAAATATATTCAGGTTTCTCTAACCTCTTAGCTAGGTCACACTAAACATAACTTGCCTATAAGGAGTCATATTTGTTGTTGTGCTTGCTTAAAAGAAAAAAGTCATATTCCTTACCATGCCTAACCTTAGATCCATTTCTCTCTCCTCATCTCATGCCTGTTTTCATTCACTCATCACTATGCAGACATTCAGATTCTCTTTCTCCTCTTCCAACTTCTATTGTTCCCATCTCAAGGCCCTATGTTGTTTCCTCTGCTTGGAACGCTCTTCACCTTGACCTTTGCATAAGTGTTTCCTCTCATCACTCAGGTTCTTGCAAAAAGTTAGTTTCTCAAAGAGGCCTTCTCTGACTCTCCTTCCAGCAACTCCATCCCATTACCCAGTTTTAAAAATACAACAGTTATTATTATATATTTAACTTTAGTCTTTATGAACTATTAAGAAATAAGGGACTACTTGCCTACTTTAATATTCATGGTGGCATTCTCATAATTTGTTGCCCCCTTTCTAAAAACTACTGATTCCTTTTTTAAGATCTACATGGTTCTAGAGAAAGAGACTCCAACTTCAGGTCTTCAAAGATAGGATTTAAAGGTCTAAGCTCATGCAATCAGCACATGGAACCATCCTGGCCTGAGCTTAAAGCTAAAGATGCATAGACGACAAACTGATAAAAATACAGAGAAACAAAACAGAGGAAGAAGAGGAGGAAGAGGAGGAGGAGGAAGAGGAAGAGGAAGAAGGGGAGGAGGAAGAGGAGGATTTGGAATTAAAAATGGCAATAAGCACATAAAAAGATCAACATCACTTAATCATTAGAAAAATGAAAATCAAATGAAGTACAACCTTACATCCATTATGATGTCTACTATTAAAAAAAAAAAAAAGAAAGGAAAAAGCAACAAGTGTTGGCAAAAATGTGGAGAAATTGAAATTGTCATGCACTACTGGTGGGAATATAAAACTGCAGCTATTATGAAAAACAGCATGAAATTCCTCGAAAAATCATGAACAGAATTGTCATATGATCTAACAATTCCACTTCAGAACATATACCAAAAGAACTGAAAGCAGCTATGAGATATTTGTTCATATTGTGAAGCATTATTCACAACAGCAAAAGGTGGAAGCAACTCAAGTGTCCACTGACAGAAGGAATGAACCAAATGTGAAATATATATATATATATATATATATATATATATATATATATATATATATATATATTTCACATTTGGTACATATACACACACACACACACACACACACACACACACACACACACACTAGTCTCTAATGGGATGTTACTTAACTTTAGAAATGAAAGAAATTTTGACACATGCCACAATGAATGAACCTTGAGAACATTAAGCTAAATGAAACAAACCAATCTCAAAAGGACAAATACTGTATATTTAGCCCTGGCCGATGTGGCTCAGTGGCTGGAGCGTTGGCTCCTGCACCAAAGGGTTGCAGGTTCAATTTCCAGTAAGGACACATATCTAGGTTGCGAGTTCACTCTCCACAGCAGTTCTCCAACTGTAGTTGCAGCTGGTCTTCCCAGCCAATTGGCCTAGAGGTCAATTCCTCCCAGTGACACCAACAGCAATCAAGTCTCAACTACAACAAGACTGTGCACACAGCCCACAAAGGGGGGCGACCTAGTGTGCCCAGCTCAGGTGAGTGTGGAGGCTAAGCCACTAGGCCCTGCAAGACATCTACTACACAAGGCCACTGTACCAACTCAAGGAGACATTGCAGCTCTACCAATACACAGAAACAAATACAGGAAACCAGCCAAAATGTGGAGACAAAGAAACATGTCACAAATGAAAGAAATGGAAGAAGGCAAACTATTGGATATAGAGTTCAAAACCACAGTTATAAGGTTACTGAAGAATCTTCATGAGACCGTCAAGGGATTTGGTGAGATTTTCAAGGATGTTAGTGAGAATGCCAATTCTATGCAATGTGAAAATCTTCTATATCCAGATATGCAATGACAGAAGTGATAATGCCATGGTGGGAATATGAGGAAAAGTGACCTAGTTATTGATCAATCCACAGACACAGGTTTCCTATCTCTGTCAAAAGGTGGTAGGAGTCTAAATTAGGTATAGTAAATAAAGTTTTATTAAACTTTTCCCACTCTAATTGGAGAGCTTATGCATATGACTTAGCATTACGCAAATGTCAGCAAAGGAAAGTCATGTCATAGGTAATTCCCTAAGTCCCGAAGACTGTTTTAACATGATACTCAGGAGATGCCAGGAATGTTAACTAGTACATACAACATAATACTGACATATGATAATTTAAAAAATATCTCATTTCATAAATAGCCTACTATCATCAGTAATTCCTAATAGCTTTCTCTTATTAAAACACAATCCCAAACAAAATATATTAGAGCATGTGACATCTTTTCTTCTCAAAAACATTGTGCGGAATGTATTCTTTTCCTTATATTTAATGGCCTAAAAATAAGTGGTTTGACTAAAGAGACAAAATAATTAAATGTAATACATGACCCTTAATTGGATCCCAGATTGAAAAATGAAATAAAAACTTGCAATAAAGGACATTAATAAAGCAATTTAAATATGAAGGATGTTTTAAACTTCCATCAACACTAAATTTCTAGAAAAATTAAGTGGTTTAGGATAGATTTTTGAATGTTATACAATATTGGACCTCTAGATAATCTAGAGAAATTCAAGTCTCACAAAATCAGAAAATATTATTGTATAAATTTAATGCCAAACAAATTTATTTCTTTTTAATATCTAATAAATAATCCAAATTATAAAAGGTACCAAAATATTCTGCAACACTTCAAATCTTATTTAAAAACAGGCCTTAGAAAAATTACTAAAACAAAGAAATTGTGATTCTCTATATATTTATAAATCTATAAAGTTGACTTAATTTTAGGGATATTTTGGATAAAGTGATAATCATATAAGCTTACCTTAACTCTCTGTAGGAAAACTGTAAACTTAAAGAAAATATCCTTTAGTAGATCAAACCACTGAGGAAAATTCAACATTCTCATCTGATCTGCAAGCCTATAAAAACAAAGACAAAAATAATGATTGTCTTTGGGCCAAATGCTATATGAAATAAACCTACAAATTAAAGGAAACTATATTAAATACTAGTATAGTTTTTATACTACCCCTGTTTCCCCGAAAATAAGACAGTGTCTTACATTAATCTTTGCTCCCAAAGATGCATTAGGTCTTATTTTCAGGGGATGTCTTATTTTTCCATGAAGAAGAATACGGTACACTTTTATTGTTAAATGAAAATAAAGGAAATTTATTACCTGTATACGGTATGGTAGTACGGTAGTTGTCAACACAAAACAAACAAATTGTGAATCCTACAGTATCAAGAATTTACTCATTTATTCAATGACAATCATGTCATCATCTTCTGGAACATCATCATAACAATCCAATTCCTGAATTTCCTGGTGAATTTCTTGTGACTCCATTTCTTTCAGAATCAGTGGACCAAATCTCTTATGTTTAGCCTGGGGGGGCCTTATTTTCGGGGGATACCTTATATTTCACTCAGAAGGAAACCTGTAAATTAGGTCTTATTTTCGGAGGATGTCTTATTTTCGGGGAAACACGGTAGTATACTAAGTACTATATAATAAAATAAGAATTATGTAATTTCATCTAGATACCTTATATCAAAAAATTGAGTTGAAGTCAATTACCAAACAACTTCTTGGTTAAATATCTCTAAGACTAATCTAGTTAAGTATACTGACTTTTGAATCTTACAAAATAATTCCATGTGAGCATAATTCGTGACCATTGGGTAAAAAGCCAGAGAGAGATAAACCAATTTTAGTTTAAGGTGGAAAAGAAATATTCTGAAATAAGTAAAAATAGGAACATAACATGTCCCTTAATAACTTAATAACCTACTTTTTCCAATTACAAGCTAAAAAGTACTTTTCCACATATGACATGGTGGCTAAGAGCATGAGCTCTAGGCCCACAATGCCTTGGTCAAGGTCCAGCCCTGCCATTTACTAGCTTTATGATTCTGGACAAGTGACTTAACCCCTGAATGTTCTAATTTTCTCACCGTAACATGGGTGAAGTAATAGAACTTAACTTGTATGATCGCTATGAGTATTAGCTGAGTTAATTAGAAGTACATAGAATAATTCATGGTGCATAAAAAGTTCTATGTATTAGCTAGTATGGTATCATTATATATCATATTAGTGTAATATATAATAGTATACCAATATTTTATAGCTAACAACAATAACTAAAAAGTTAATGCAAAATAGTTACATAAAATATTTTATAGAATTACAATGACATTACTCTAAATTTTTAACTAATACTATTGCAGCTAAGAGTTTATTTTCTTTTTTTTTTTTTTTTCTTTTTTTTCAAGAGTTTATTTTCCAAAGATATTCTTATACTTGAGATACAGGAAGTTCTCTATTTGAGGAAATATCCTAGGGAAGAAAACAAAAATAACTGAATTTCCATGTGTATAGGGCTTTAAAAAGAGTCCCAATACTTAATTTTTCTAACTACTGCACTAGTGATGCCTGCAGTATTAGGGCTGCTTCAACTAACTCTGAAACTGAGTTTTCACTAGGTACTAGTATGTAAATTAAAACTTCACATCCTCATCCTATGAGTCTCACAGAGGAGTTTTACATTAGTCCATATTGTTATTCATATTTTAGGCCAGTTAATAAAGTTTACATATCTATTTGAATGAGAAATTCATAGTCATAAAATATTTATCACTATTCTCAAAATAAAAAATAGGGATTACACTACACTGGTGAAAATAAAGTTATAGACATGGGCAATTCAAAATCATGTACTCAACTTTTCAAAGCCAATTAGAAGCTGGGTCTTAATTATTTGGCCAACTAATTTAAATTTCACACTGATATCTTCTGAAATGGGTTATCTGCAATTTTCCCCCTCCATATCTACATTGAATCCTCTTTACCCTCTGTCTGCCCTGGGAGATGATCTGCAGGGCTTGGTCAATGATGAGCCTTTACAAAAGATTGGAAGGAAGAGGCCTGGCCCATGTAATGCAGTTGACTGGGCGTAGTGCTGAGCACTAAGACTGCAGGTTTGAGTCCTGGTCAGGGCACAGGCCCAGGTTGTGGGCTCAATTCTCTGTGGTGGGTGTGCAAGAGGTAGCTGATCAATATTTTGCTCTCACATGGATGTTTCCTTCCCTCCCTCCCTCCCTCCCTCCCTCCCTCCCTCCCTCCCTCCCTCCCTCCCTCTCTCTTCTCTCCCCCTCTCCCTTACTTTCTCTCTCTTAAAGAAAAATCAAAACAATCAATAAAAAATAAAATAAAAGAAGATTGGAAGGAGAAAAGGTGCCTACAGCTCTATCTCCTCTCCTTGAGGGGTTACCTCCAGATGACAGCCTCCCTTCAGTGAAGATAATTTCAACTACTGAATGTCTTTTTTTTCACTACCACTACATATATTTCTCCTTCTGAATTCTATTAACTGCTCTCTTCCCTTAATAGAATTCAGAAGGAATTCTGTGACTGATATTTATACTTACTTCATACCAGCATCTGGGTCTAGTTCTTCTATTTGTGAAACTTTATTAATCACACACTGCAAAAATTTAAGAAAAAAATGTGATTAATGTGAATTCTAAGTACTGTATATTTAAAAGGGCTACAATGGGTAGAAATGAAAAAAATTAAAAAGTGTTACTTTGAAAATACATCTTAAAATTAAATGAAAGTAAAAGGGCCTCAATGATTATCTTATCAGACTCCTCTTGTGTCTTTTAAACATACCTCAAGGTGTTTAAAAAACTTCAGCATTACCATTATCTTATTAAATAATTATTCCAGGGTAGCTTAAACTGTATTAATTAAAATCTACTATTTAAAACAATTCAAAGCATAAAAGAGCACAGAACTATAATACTTAGGAAGAAGATATAAGCCCCATATTAAAATCGCAAATATGACAAATTTCTGTATGTTGATTTTGTATCCCATTATTTTAGTGAATTTCTTTATTAATTCTATTATCTTTTGATAGATTCTTTAGGGTTTTCTACTTATAGTATCATGTCATCTGCAAATAGTTAGTTTTACTTCTTCCTTTCCAATTTGGATGCCTTTTATTTATTTTTCTTCTCTGACTACCGTGACTAGGGCTTCCAGTACTATGTTGTATTAGTGGTGAGAGTGGGCATCTTTGTCTTGTTCCTGATCTTAGAGGAAAGCTTTTAGCTTTTCACCATTGGGTATGTTAACTCTGCACTTGTCATAATCAGCCTTTACCAAATTGAGGTAAGATCTTTCTATATCCACTTTGTTGAGACTTATCATAAATGGATGTGGAATTCTGTCAAACACTTTTTCTGCATCTTTATTGGGATAATCATAGCTTTTTATCCTTGGTTTTTTTGATGTGATGAAACACATTGTTTTTTGGATGTTGAACCACATTTGCATCGCTGGTATAAATCCTATTTGATTATATAGTATAATTCTTTAATGTACTGTTGAATTCAATTTGCTAGTATTCTGCTGACAATTTTGTTCATCAAGAATGTCAATAGATGAATGGTTAAAAATGTGTGACACACACACACATCCACGTAGTATTGTGTTTTGTGTATATACACACAAACACTGGAATATTATGTGGTAATAAAAAAGATTGAAATATTGCCATTGCAAGAACATGGAAGGTTCTAGAGGGTATTGTGCTACGAGAAATAACACAAATACAGTATAGTTTCACTTATGTGTGGAATCTAAAAAACAGCAGCAAATGAACAAACAAAACAAAAACAGACTTATAGAAACAGAAACTAAAGGGATTATTACCAGAAGTGAATAAATGGGTGAAAAAAGGAAAAGGAATACAATCTGTATTATTATGATAAGTTTGCACAGAGAAGATGATTACTATAATTAGTGGGGTGATCATATTATAAGATATAAAAATGTTGAAACTAATATAACCAATACAATATTGTTTACCAACTAGACTTAAGTTTTTAAAAATATAATTCCAAAAGAAATTTATTTGGAAGCTACATTTCTTTTCTTTTTAAATATATTTTTATTGATTTCAGAGATGAAGGGGAGGGAGAGAGAGAGAAACATCAATGATGAGAAAGAATCATTGATCGGCTGCCTCCTGCACATCCCCACTGGGATCTAACCCACAACCCAGGCATGTGCCCTTGACTGGAATGGAACTTGGGACCCTTCAGTTCCCAGGCCCGTGCTCTATACACTGAGTCAAACCAGCTAGAGCAGAAGTTACATATTCTTGCAAAACATGCAACAGTTTAAAGTTGGGGGGGGGGGATGCTTAGACTTCCAGAAAAGTCTGGGAGTTAAAACAGTTTTAAAAACTTATTTAAAAGCATATTATTCTTACAAAAAATTGTACAAATTATGTTTATTGCTCAGTATTTTTTCACAATGGAATACACCTGTGTAACCAGAACTCAGATCATGAAACAAACACTGTCAATAGCCTTTCTCCTGCTCCCATCCGAGAGAGTTACCCTTATTTCCTCCCCAAAGTTACCCCTACCCTGATTCTTAAAACAACAGATGTTTGAATCAAGTGGGTAGAATCATACAGTGTATATTCTTTGGTGTCTAGTTTATTTGGCTCCACATTATGTATGTGAATTTCATCCACATTGTCTTATGTAATTGATTCATTCTCATTGGTGTATAGTATTCAATTATATAAATATGCCACAATTCTGTTTATCTTTTCTACTAATGACATTTTTTCTTCCATTTTTTAAATAAAAATAGTGCTACAATGAAATTCTTGTGATGTCTTTGGTGAGCTTATGCATGCATTTTTGTCAGGTAAATACTTTGGAGGAGAACTGCTGAGTCATAAGTGTATATTTAGCACTAGCAAATAGTGCCAACAATTTTTTAAAGTGGTTTTAACTATTTTAACCAGTGTTTGAAAGAGGTAAAAGATGGGGTGACTGTAATTTTTTATTTGATTTTATTTCAACATTAAAAACTTGGTATTGTACATTCAACTTCATGATGGTCAATTAATGTTAGTAAGTACATTTTAAATTGTTTTTTTTCTTCATATTCAGAAAAATTGAAGTTCAGTAAATAAGATTTATCTAAGTAAAAAAAGTGAAAACAGATCAGGAAAGACTAAAAAGTTTCGGTTTACAATTATGATTTCTTAGAGATCAAGTGTAAGATGAATATTTATCTACTGCTGGTGACAGCATATATTGTTAATTTTTTAAAATTTAAAAATTGGTCACTTTCTGACCAATAATTCCACTTTCAGAATTTAGTTACAAGGCAATTGTCTTATGTAAAACTAAACAAACAAAACTTTATACCACAGATACTTGTCACAATGTTCTTAACAGTACCAAACTGAAAGCAACTTAAATATGCAGCATAAAGGAAGTGTTAAGTTTAACATAATATAGATGAAATGTTTTACAACTGCTAAAAGTCTAACTGAAATATATGAACAAATCAAAATAATATATGCAAGATGGTAATGATAATTAAAAATATCAGTAACAATTTATACTTGTAAATATTTTTAAATTATAATATTTTAGCTGATAGGGCTATGTTCTACTTTTCTACATTTTTAACTTTTAAATAAATGAAAAAATATTACTATTATACTACATATATTATTTCTAGGGTCATGTAAACACAAATGTCACAAAGATTCTAAAGCAAAATATGTTAAATAAAAAATGTATAATTACCTGTTTAATGATATTCTTTGCCGTAATAATCATTTCTTCACTATAGATTTCTAAAAAATTAAGTTTTCTTTGTTTTAAAAGTCCAAATATAAGGGATACTAGTTTTTCCTATAAAAATAAAATAAACAAATAAATAAAAGAAAAATGTGTAACTTCACACTTTAAATGCCAAATAATCTTAGAGATAGAAATATTAAACACCAAGAGTTTTATTTTTTGAGAATCTATACTACATATGGTATTTTTTAGAAGCCTGGGGGGGGAAAAATCCTTTTACTGCAATCTGGTCATCAGATTTTTGGAGTCAGTGTTCTAAAATAGATAAATCCTATTCCATAAGAGTGGACCAAATGAAGCTGGTTTAAGGGCAAGACAATACAAAAATATATTTTAGCCTAGTTTCAAGTAGCTAGAAAACATCTTTCTTAAACCCTGATAATACTCCATGATCCATGTGTTGTTGTTGTTTTTTTAGTATATTTTATTGATTTTTTACAGAGAGGAAGGGAGAGGGAGAAAGAGTTAGAAACATCGATGAGAGAGAAACATTGATAAGCTGCCTCCTGCACACCCCACACTGGGGATGTACCCGCAACCAAGATACATGCCCTTGACCGGAATCGAACCTGGGACCCTTGAGTCTGCAGGCCGACGCTCTATCCACTGAGCCACACCGGTCAGGGCTCCTTGTGCTTTTTAATTAGTGGTTTAGAAGACTGGAATGATGACCCTGACTATCTGTGGGGAATTAACTGCTGACAGGTAAAAATATATCTTAACTACTAGACTGCCATCAGGGCTTTTTGGAACTTTACTAGTTCTTGGCAATAATCAGAATTGAGAAGTTATCAGCTAAGTAAAGCCTGGGTATGATGTATTTGTATATGCATGTGCATAAAACATGTTCATAAGTGCTCAGTGAATGACTGATGAGTTATAAAAATAATCCATTTTTAAAGAGACATACTCCAGTACATGCATATACATGGATATATGTTAATTTTTCATATCTACATTTTGAATTTTGTTTGTATTCTACATAGAGATCTCATTTTAATTCCAATTTCTAGTTAAGGTATAAAATTATTTTATTCTCTAATTTCATAGGATAATAAACAATTATCCTTGCTAAAGTCATATAGTGAAGTACTTCATAGGTCTAATAAAGTTAATGTAATTCTGTTCATTATAATCTGAGAAGAATGTGTTCTAAACTAAGGATTTTGATTTAGCACCAAGCAATAACATCAATTTCATTCCGGTGCTCAAAAACCATACCTCTTCTAAAATTTGACAGTCATCTTCCAGTGGTCTATTTAAGTCACTGTGACAATAAGTAGAAAATTCTGCAATCATCATTTTATCTATCAGTTTTTCTAATTCACAAAGCTGTGATCCCAAATGCCTACAAAGGAAGAAGAAAATGTTACATATTAAAAATCTCAATTCACTCCACAATTAAGGGAACTAGTAGCAAAACTTTTCTAACTGACAGTACTTGTGCAATAATATAATGCTTTAGTAAAATGGAGTCCATTAACTTAACAAAAATAACTGCAACAGTTCCACATCACCTCCCAAATTCTATTTTTCTCTTTAACTTCCAGTTAAATGTGTTACAGAAAACCTGGTACTAGAAATTCCATGACTGTTTTTTGGTCTAGTTTTACAGATAAAATATTCAGATATTCTGAGTCCCTTCTTCACTAACCATTTACTGCGGGGTGGAGAACCTTTTATCTGCCAAGGGCCATTGGATATTTATATCGTTCTTGGGCCATACAAAAGTATCAACTTAAAAATTAACCTGCTATATTTGGTCAAACATTTAATTAATTCACTTTTAATGCCTTGCAGGGCTATTCCAAATGATTTTGCGGGTCTTATATGGCCCATGGGCTGGACATTTCCCACTCCTGCTTGAATATCAATGCCAGTAGCTCCCAAGCCACTCATTTATTCAATAAACAGAAGCACCTACTATGTGCCAGATCCTGCTCTGGGTACATATAAATATCACAAGGACTATCAGGACAGATTGATTCAATTCAATCTCTGTCATCATCAGTTTGAGTTACTGTGCAATATCCCTCAGGTCCAAAGAGAATTATTTCAACTGACTTTAACACATAGTAATTTATCCATTCATCCACAAAGGATATATCTTAAGGAAGAGAAATCCTACATTACAAAAGTAATCATATTGTTAGTTCTAAGGGCGTTCTAAATTACATTGTAGGATAAAACAAATAAGGAATTATGTTGACATCATTAGGAACTACAGTTTTCAGCCTGTTCAAAAGGATGTATGAGTAAGACTGAAGAAGTAAAAACTCTACAGTCCTGAATTGAAACTACCAATATAAACTCATATTTTTTTATAAAGGGGAAATTATTCTCTAGCTCTTTCTGCTACAAATTACCTCTGGTATCTAGACTATAATTTTACAATACCATTTTCTACTAAGAGAAACTAGAGCTCTTTAGAAAAATGGCAGCTTACGAGTCTGGGGCAGAAAATAATGTAGGAGTATCTTGTCATAACACAAAGTAAGAAAACAATGACTACTGTCTCATGTCTCAATAATGAATTGGAGGAGATTCCTACAAAAGATAGGACAATTTGAACATTGATAAAAATAAAAACAGCAAAGAACTTAAACACTTCAAATATATATAAATTTATGTATTTATAAAAATATTTTTAAAAACTCATCAGTCACCTTTGATAGATGTTGGATTTTCAAATCACTATTTTTTTTAAAAAGTTCTAAATAAGGGGAAATAATCTAGAATTTATTCTGTCTACACTTATAAGAAATGTTTTTCAGCAGAAACCGGTCTGGCTCAGTGGTAGAGCGTCGGTCTGCGGACTGAAAGGTCCCAGGTTCGATTCCCATCAAGGGCATGTACATTGGTTGTGGGCACATCCCCGGTAGAGAGTGTGCAAGAGGCAGCTGGTCGATGTTTCTCTCTCATCGACGTTTCTAGCTCTCTATCTTTCTCCCTTCCTCTTTTCTGTAAAATATCAATTAAAAAATTAAAAAAAAAAAGAAATGTTCTTCAGAGTTATCAAATAATTGTTACGTAGAAACACTGATTTAAAGAAATATTCCAGTTAGTAAATGAATAAAGAAGTATAGAATTAGAATATCATTATTTGGAACCCATAATAGATAAGTCTAGGCAATGAACATCAAATTGCTGCTAATATCACAAAAAGAGAGACAACCAGATATATGCATCGTGATTGACAAACACACCACTACCTATTAGGTGCTCTTAAGAAAAAGTAAAACTTAAATCTGATCAAAACTTTAAATTTAACTACCAGTTTATAAACTTATAGGCAAAAGAAAAACACGCTAAATATGAGAATGTAGTTGGCAAAACTCAGACTCTGAGAAGGCTCTAAAAGACAACTAACTCAATTTCTTCAATAAATATTTTGAAAGGAAGAATACAAGAAGAATGGAGAACTATAAATCAAGACATTTGAAACATATCAACCAACTGTAATGCATAGATAATATGTGGATCCTTTTTTCAAGAAAAATTATAAAAATGAGTTTTGAGACAAACAGGAAAATCTGAACACTTACTAGATATTTGAAAGTATAAGTGAAATTAGAGTTATGTTTTTAAAAATCTTTTTCTTTCAAAGGTATATCGTGAAATATTTATGGAAGAAAGGAAATGATGTTTTGAATTTGTTTCCAACATAGGAGTAGGAGAAGGGACATAGAGAAAAAAAAGTTGACTACGAGTTTGTAACTCATGTGCAATACACAATTTATCTACCTTCATACAACTCTCGTCATATAATTTCTTCTATTTTTTTTTAATATGTCTAAGTTTTCAGTAAGTTTTAAAAAGTACTAACAGAGCCAAAACCGGTTTGGCTCAGTGGATAGAGCGTCGGCCTGCAGACCAAAAGGTCCCGGGTTCGATTCCGGTCAAGGGCATGTACCATGGTTGCGGGTACATCCCCAGTACGGGGTGTGCAAGAGGCAGCTGACCGATGATTCTCTCTCATCGATGTTTCTAACTCTCTATCCCTCTCTCTTCCTCTCTGTAAAAAATTAATAAAATATATATATATTTTAAAAAGTACTAACAGAGAAGGATATAAATCTACCCATAATTTTACTATTGCTGGGTTGATATTTTTTATGATAATCAGATTTCTTTTTAAGGCACACTAGAGGTTACACTCAGGTACGTGTTACATTGAAAGAATAGGTATGAAAGAATAGTCTTCAAAGAATTATGGTGAGAAGTCAATATGATGTTTGGGCATCAAAATAAAACTCTAATTTCATCATAATAACTTATATGTAAGGTTCTATTTGACCACACATATTGTCTTAACTAAGTAGCTTCATTTTTATGCATTCTATAACTTCTTTCAAAGTCTGATAACTATAATTTTAAAAGGGCAGATATGAATTTTAATACTAACATCAATACTATATAATCACAGGTACATGATATATACACAAAGATTTGTCTAGGAGAAACCAAGATGGTGGCATAGGTAAACACCTAAACTGCTGCCTCACACAACAATTTCAAAACTACAACTAAAAGACAAAAGGTCTATCAACCAGAAGCACAGGAAAGCTGGCTGAGTGAAAGCTCTACAACTAGAAGGAAAGAGAAAAGAGCATTGAGACATGCACGAGCACTGAAAAGCTGAGGTGCGGTGGCGGGCAATAGGATGTGTTGCTTTTTTTCAACTGGAAGGGAGACAAGCTCCCAATTCTGAAATCGTTTCTGGGGAGAAGCAGGAGACCCAAACTCCTACGGGGAGAAGCTGGGCTGTCGGCCATCAGGTTGGAAAGTAAGAGTGCCTTTCTTGCAGAGGCGCCTAGCAGTCATTTTTACTGCACTGGGGTGCTGGACGCAGGGACTTGGAAACTTGAAAACACAGAGAAGGCTGACTGGCAGCCATGACTGTTTGCCACGCCCTAGCCTAGTGACATCCTGAGATGCTGCCCCGCACAATCTACAAACACACCCAATGGATCAGCCTCCCTGAGGAAAAAAAGGAAAAACAATTGTAATAATCCAAACAATAAAGATTTATTAAATTAAAAAAAAAAGATGGGGCAAAAAAAAATCAATAAAATATGGAAAAAAAAAAAAAAAAGATTTGTCTCAACAAATCCTTAAAAAAAAACTGTCAGGGTTAAGATGTTATACAAGATTCACCTATTCATCCTTGCTCTAATTGTTTTTTATATTACTGACTGCTTTGAGAATGGATATCATAATAGTGGCCTCCGCGTTATTAACCTTATAAAAATATTTTAAATAAATCTGTTAACAATTCATTTTAATAGCATGTATCCTTGCCTAGACTGTGTGGCTCAGTGGTTTAGCATCAACCCATGAACCAATAGGTCCCTGCTTCGATTCCTGGTCAGGGAACATGCTTGGGTTACAGGAGGCAGCTGACTGAGGTCTCTCTCTCTTATCAATATTTCTATCTCTCTAGCCCTTTGCCTTCCTTTCTAAAATCATTAAAAAACATTTTTTTTAAAAAGTATGTATCATACCAAAACCGGTTTGGCTCAATGGATAGAGCGTCGGCTTGGGGACTGAAGGGACCCGGGTTCAATTCCGGTCAAGGGCATGTACCTTGGTTGCGGGCACATCCCCAGTAGGGGATGTGCAAGAGGCAGCTGATCAATGACTCTCTCTCATTGATGTTTCTAGCTCTCTATCTCCTTCCCTTCCTCTCTGTACAAAATCAATAAAATATATTTTTTTAAAAAAAAGTATGTATCATAATAATCACATACAGTAATTCAGAGTGGTGAAAGAAATCTACTGAAACAATAAATAACCAAAATATCACTTTCTGAAAAAGCACTTATCCTATATAATAAAAGGCTAATATGCAAATAAACCAAACAACAGCACAACCGATTGCTATGATATATATTGACCACATGTGCGGAACATGGATGGTATTGGCCAAGGCGGGGTGGTAAAGAAGATGAATGGAGTGAGCCTCTGGTGGTTACTAAAAAGTCTTTGCTCCAGCGTGCTGTGGTCCCACCTGGCATTCACACATGCCTGGTACTGGTCCCAATCACTTGGCACCATCAGAAAGTATGAATGGCGGCTGCCAATCCTGATTGCCCGTGAGAGCTTCTCCACCACCCCCTGCTCCTGAGGGACAATCGGGACAGCAGCCACTGCTCGCACCCACTGATAGTGCCAGCCCCGCTGGCACCTGCTGCTGGTACTAGCCCCAATCATTCCAAGCTGTCAGTGGGTGTGAGCAGAGCCAGCGCTACCAGTGAGTGAGAGTGGCGGTGGCAGAAGTGGGGCTGCCAGCAGACAGGGGTCTGGGGGCCATGGTGAGAGGGGCTCAGCAAAATAAATCCACTTTTC